CACAAACACACACACACACAGAGACACACAGAGACACACAGCGACACACAGAGACACACAGAGACACACACAAACACACAGAGACACACACAGAGACACACACAAACACACAGAGACACACAGAGACACACAGCGACACACAGAGACACACACAAACACACACACACAGAGACACACAGCGACACACAGAGACACACACACACAGAGACACACACAAACACACAGCGACACACAGAGACACACAGAGACACACACAAACACACAGAGACACACACAAACACACAGAGACACACAGAGACACACAGCGACACACAGAGACACACACACAGAGACACACACAAACACACAGAGACACACAGAGACACACACAAACACACAGAGACACACACAAACACACAAACACACAGAGACACACACAAACACACAGAGACACACAGCGACACACAGAGACACACACAAACACACACACACAGAGACACACAGAGACACACAGCGACACACAGAGACACACACACACAGAGACACACACAAACACACAGTGACACACACAAACACACAGAGACACACAGAGACACACACAAACACACAGGCAAAGAGCTACTTTCATACTAAAGAGGCAGAGAGCTACTTTCATACTAAAGAGGCAGAGAGCTACTTTCATACTAAAGAGGTAGGGAGCTACATTCATCCTAAAGAATAATAAATAATAATATAAATCTAATAATTACGACAAAACATGGAGAGAACAGAACAAACAGAACAAACCATAATACTGTATGAGCCCATGTTTATACTGATAATAGAAACTAAAATGTAATCATTCAAGATCATTTGTTTAATTCTAAATCCTTTGGAGAGCTACTGGTAGCTCCCAATCCACAGGTTGGAGACCCCTGATCTACAGTGTGGGTGCATCCAAAACCAAAAACTGAACTACATTATTCTAAGATACACTTTAAAGCAGCAGTATGTAAAATTCTCATGTCCAGTCATCATTAAAGGGCCCTAATCTGTCATCATTAAAGGGCCCTAATCTGTCATCATTAAAGGGCTCTAATCTGTCATCATTAAAGGGTCCTAATCTGTCATCATTAAAGGGCCCTAATCTGTCATCATTAAAGGGCCCTAATCTGTCATCATTAAAGGGTCCTAATCTGTCATCATTAAAGGGCCCTAATCTGTCATCATTAAAGGGCCCTAATCTGTCATCATTAAAGGGCCCTAATCTGTCATCATTAAAGGGCCTAATCTGTCATCATTAAAGGGCCCTAATCTGTCATCATTAAAGGGCCCTAATCTGTCTTCGATGTCCCGCCCTCCAGCGTTTCACCAATCAGAAAGTCTGTGATCCGGGCGCCAGAACTCACCGCGTGGAGCTAATCTCACTGGTAAAGTACCATGTGGCGCAGAACTAAAAAAGGTCTCGTTATGATTCTCAAATCATTAATGACAAAATAAGGAATAAAACCAGGATTTCTATCTTTGTGAAAAAGGTGTTGGTTATAGATTTGTTGTTGACAAAACTCTTGTCTATTCAGCTGTTATGGTCCCAGCTGGATTCGTCTGCATATCTGGCAACCTGAGTCAGGGAGAGTGGGAGAGGCTGCAGTACCACTTTTGGCCACACGTTTACACACTGCTCTTTTAACTAAGCATTATACACTTTGGTTAGTTACTAGTTTATAATGATATAGACATATTTCTGTATTATAACTAATACAAGACACTTTTTTACCAAACTGAACCTTTACAGTTTTCTTTCTCCTGTGGAGTGTGAGTTTGGAATCTAACTGTGGTGGTTAAGACGTGACTGAATCACTGAAACCAGAATAATGTTTTTACTTGAATCTATTTGTAAATTCCAATAAAATAAAATGTAATAATTTCTTGCTGCACATTCTGTAAACGATGTTACACATGGTTTAAGTCCATTTCAGTCCCGCTCCAAACCATCTCCCAGTTTAGTTACAGAAGACAAATACAGATACGATATCTGGACAAAATACTCGAGTAAAAGTAAGTATTACAAATCTTATTTAGAGATGGTCAGAGTGTGATCTCTAAATATCTGTTTCTCAGATTCAGAGACAAAGTCATTTCAAAGCTTTCAGTGAGAAAACTATTTGTCGTAAACCGTAAAAACTGCATCAAGTCTTTTGGAAACAAAACAAAAATACTAGGGCTGTCAAAATTATCGCGTTAACGCACGTTAATTAATGTTTTCATTAATCGCGTTAAAAAATGAACGCATTTGACGCATGCCCATGCGTCCCATAATAACACTCAGAATGCCGCGGACACATGCGTGTGTAAGACGGGGACAGAGCAGGTCTCTGGGAGTGACCGCGGGGCACTTGTTGTTTCCTGTATGAGCTCTGCATGATGAGCTGCGGGCGCCACAGCGCTCTGGACCGTTCCCACTTCCAGCGGCTGTGATCACGGCGAACGGCGCTGCGTAATGGGATCATATCCAAGACCACGCACAGAACTATTACAGAACTATTCTCTAGTGTGCGTACGTGTCTTTGTGTAACCGATGCACACAATATGTGCAGCGCTGAAGCTGGAGGAGCCTCAGTCTCCTCCGTGTCTTCTCCCGAAGCGCACTCGCTAAATTAAAGCTGATAATGTTGTGAGCAAATCAAACAGATTTAATGACATTCTGCTTCTGACTGTTTTGAAATGTCCCTCATCTGTAACAAACAATAGTTTTGGTCTGAGTCTAAACAGAAAGACAGAATGTTAATAATGTTAATTCCATTTTATATGGATTTATTGTTATAACAAACAAATACAGTTCATATGTTCACTAAGCTGTCATTTATCTTTCCATTCAAACAACCATTTACAGAAAAATATGGCTTAATTTTGCCAATATTTGAAATGCGATTAATTACGATGAATTATTTTTTTATGCTGTAATTAACTCGATTAAAACAATTAATCGTTTGACAGCCCTAAAAATTACAGAAGAGAAAAGATTCATCTCCTGAACACAGGAAATATGTTTTTATTTTGATGGAAACCCTGATTTAACAAACGCATCATGAACTGAATCACAAACACCATGTGTTTATACAAATAAACACAAATACATTCTGAATATTTACATTATTTTACTCTGTTACATATTATAGTTTATTATAATGTAACATTAGATATTTGATTATGTCTGACGTGTTTTTCCTTTTATCGTCCGTATCAGCCTCAGTAACTTCATTTTCCACTTGGGATAAGTATTTATTTATCTCTTGGTTTAGCTTCATCAAAATGTTGTTTTGAACAGAAGAGAATGTTTTATTTCAGCAGTGAACACATTTGTTATTAAACCATGTAAGTTTTATATATATATATATATATATATATATATATATATATATATATATATATATATATATATATATATATATATATGCCAGTGATCAGATACCCTGCAGGAATAATCAGGTGGCCAAAGGAAGAGATTCAGACCACGGATGTTAAAACTCAAAAGCTCCTTACCATGCATGGCGGGTTCCATCCCAAATCCAGCACCCTGAGACTGTACGTAAGCCGTAAAGAAGGAGGCCGAGGACTAGTGAGTGTGAGAGCCACTGTCCAGGACCAAACATCCAAACTCCATAACTACATCATGGAGAAGGCCAAAACGGATGACGTACTCAGTGAATGTCTCAGGCAGTGGCGAGATGAGGAGGTGCTGGAGGAGAGCCCATCATGGGAGAACAAGCCCCTACACGGCATGTACCACCGGAGCATAACAGAAGTGGCTGATCTCAAGAAGTCCTACCAATGGCTAGAAAGGGCTGGCCTACAGGACAGCACAGAGGCACTCATCATGGCTGCACAGGAACAGGCACTGAGCACCAGAGCGATAGAGGCCCAGATATACCACACCAGACAAGACCCAAGGTGTCGGTTGTGCAAAGAGGCACCTGAGACGATCCAACACATAACTGCAGGGTGCAAGATGCTGGCAGGGAAGGCCTACATGGAACGCCATAACCAAGTGGCTGCATAGTGTACAGAAACATCTGTGGAGAGTATGGGCTGGAAACCCCAAGGTCTAAGTGGGAAACTCCTCCAAAGGTGGTGGAGAATGAGCGTGCAAAGATCCTGTGGGACTTCCAGATACAGACCGACCGAATGGTAATGAACCAACCTGACATCGTGGTGGTAGACAAAGGGCAGAGGACAGCCGTGGTGGTGGACGTGGCAATTCCAAGCGATGGTAACATCCGGAAAAAAGAACATGAAAAGCTTGAGAAATACCAAGGTCTCAGAGAGGAGCTGGAGAGGGCCTGGAGGGTAAAGGTCACAGTAGTGCCCGTGGTGATCGGTGCACTCGGGGCAGTGACCCCGAAGCTAGATGAGTGGTTACAGCGGATCCCCGGAACAACCTCGGACATCTCGGTCCAGAAATGTGCAGTGCTAGGAACAGCAAAGATACTGCACAGAACCCTCAAGCTCCCTGGCCTCTGGTAGAGGACCCGAGCTTAGAGAGGGATAACCGCCCGCGGAGGGCCAGGTGAGTGGACAATTATATATAATATATATAATATACATATATATATATATATATATATATATATATATATATATATATATATATATTATATATGTATATTATATATATATATATATATATATATATATATATATATATATATATATATATATATATATATATATATGTATATTATATATATATATATATATACATATATATATATATATATATATATATATATATATATATATGTATATTATATACAGTATATATCAGCAGCTGTGTTAGAATCAAAGTAAAGTAATAATATCTGCGACTCCTGGACTGGTGCAAAGGCCAACATTTACAAAATACAAATCACACACTGGTCTGTGAAAGGACGGTATATAAATAAAGATTACTTACTTACTTACTTAAAATAAGGGAGATGTTTGTGGGGGTGTTGTGTCACTTTAGCCCCTAAAGGGCTATAATCAGAATCTAAGGTCAGAATCTAATGGGGTCGAGACTCACCCAGTTTGCAGAGCCAGCAGACCAGGATCCACAGCATCACGATGTACGGAGCCTCCACGTGATGCCACTTCCAGGTCACGATGGGCAGCGTCGTGATGGGAGCTCCGTGCCCCGAGCCCCCCTCAGACTCGTTAGAGGAGCTGGTCCCGGGGACATCGCTGGACTCCTCTGTGGCTCCTCCGTGATCTGCTGGGTCTGAGCCGCTGGCCTGCCATACCCACAGAAACATGCAAAAAACATAAAAACAAAGTGCGTATCTCCTCATTACTGCCATCTGGAAGCCTCAAAGTAAAAAAGTATGAATGATAAGTATAAATGTAAGTGCTGGGGTCTGGTTTGTCTCCTTCCTCTGCCCTAAGTGTCCGTGCACCTGCTCCTGAACACATCCATGTCTGTGTGAGTGAGAAGGCCTCTGTGTGGCTCTGTCTGAGGCAGGGACACCTCCGCTCAGGTGCAGTCTCCTCCCACTGCCTCCTCTGTAGTCACTCATACACAACTGTTTTGGAGATATTAACCCGACCTCTGGAAAGACTGTTTTGGAGATATTAACCCGGCCTCTGGAAAGACTGTTTTGGAGATATTAACCCGGCCTCTGGAAAGACTTCCGGAGGAGTTAGGACTTGGTATTTTTGTCTCTGCTTTTTTACAGAGATATAGCAAAATACTTCCATTCCAGTGTAGAAAGTCTGATTATTGTAAAACATGAAAATTAAATGTCAGTCACATGTGTGTGATACAAGAAATACAGGAACAAGGGTAGAGACCAGGGGAGAGACCAGGGGAGAGACCAGGGGAGAGACCAGGGGAAAGACCAGGGGAGAGACCAGGGGAGAGACCAGGGGAGAGACCAGGGGAGAGACCAGGGGAGAGACCAGGGGAGAGACCAGAAGGGAGAGACCAGGGGAGAGACCAGGGGAGAGACCAGGGGAGAGACCAGGGGAGAGACCAGGGGAGAGACCAGGGGAGAGACCAGGGGAGAGACCAGAAGGGAGAGACCAGGGGAGAGACCAGGGGAGAGACCAGGGGAGAGACCAGGGGAGAGACCAGAAGGGAGAGACCAGGGGAGAGACCAGGGGAGAGACCAGGGGAGAGACCAGGGGAGAGACCAGGGGAGAGACCAGGGTAGGAGACCAGTGGAGAGACCAGGGAAGAGACCAGGGGAGAGACCAGGGGAGGAGACCAGAAGGGAGAGACCAGGGGAGAGACCAGGGGAGAGACCAGGGGAGAGACCAGGGTAGGAGACCAGTGGAGAGACCAGGGAAGAGACCAGGGGAGAGACCAGGGGAGAGACCAGGGGAGAGACCAGGGGAGAGACCAGGGTAGGAGACCAGTGGAGAGACCAGGGAAGAGACCAGGGGAGAGACCAGGGGAGAGACCAGGGGAGGAGACCAGAAGGGAGAGACCAGGGGAGAGACCAGGGGAGAGACCAGAAGGGAGAGACCAGGGGAGAGACCAGGGTAGAGACCAGGGGAGAGACCAGGGGAGAGACCAGAAGGGAGAGACCAGGGTAGAGACCAGGGGAGAGACCAGGGGAGAGACCAGGGGAGAGACCAGGGGAGAGACCAGGGGAGAGACCAGGGGAGAGACCAGGGGAGAGACCAGAAGGGAGAGACCAGGGTAGAGACCAGGGGAGAGACCAGGGGAGAGACCAGGGAAAGAGACCAGGGGAGAGACCAGGGGAGAGACCAGGGGAGAGACCAGGGGAGGAGACCAGAAGGGAGAGACCAGGGTAGAGACCAGGGGAGAGACCGTGGGAGAGACCAGGGGAGAGACCAGGGTAGGAGACGAGGGGAGAGACCAGGGGAGAGACCAGGGTAGAGACCAGGGGAGAGACCAGGGGAGAGACCAGGGGAGGAGACCAGAAGGGAGAGACCAGGGGAGGAGACCAGAGAGAGAGACCAGGGGAGAGACCAGGACACGCTACACTCAAATCCAGCAATAGATACGTCCTTCCTCGACCTCCTTTAAACTCAAGAGTCTTCTTTTATGTGACACTCTTTTAAGACATTTTCTTTGGCAACATTTCATTAAAGACTGAACTTCGAGCAAAGATGAGGAACAGGAGAATATGATTATAAATGTAAATGTTGGAAGCACTGGTCTACAGTTATGTGATCCATAGTACAGTATATATCCGTGTAACCTTCGAAGCTACATCTCTCGTTTGAAGTGTGTGACTCCTTTGTCGCCCTCATCATGTGTCGTGGCGTGTTGAGCCTTCATGACCGTGATGTCTCTTTGTTTTGGGGACACACTTTCCTAATGATCCGTTTGGGACAGGTCCTTCTCTTCCTCTTCAGTGACTCACGATGGTTACAGTGGTTACAATGTAAACACCAGGACAGCCATTGATCTGAGCTCACACCATCAACATGAGCTGGTTACACTGGTTACACCGACCTGAACGATACACATCTATAAACTGTACAGCCACTGAAACTGAACGTGGCTTAAGTTTATCCGATTATATTACATTTCTCATCTCATCTTTTCCCATTTACAAAAGTGCTGAATATATGAATGAATTATTGGTGAGCTACATATCGGTCCAAATCACTAAAGTAATCGGACAAAGATAGTTTAGGCAAGGCAAGGCAAGTTTATTTTTATAGCACAATTCATACCAAGGCAATTCAAAGTGCTGAACAAAACAAGAAAGCATTAAAATCATAAATAATCACAGAACATTAAAAAGAAAGATACAAATATAAAATCCCTCAGTTGTAGCACAGCTAAACAGAACTGTTTTTAACCTGGTTTTAAACATTGTCAGAGAGGAGTCCTGTCTCACATCTTCAGGAAGACTGTTCCAGATTTTAGCAGCATGAATCTGAAAAGCAGCCTCCCCATGTTTAGGAATCAAAGGCAGAGCGATGACTGCAGGTTACATTCTCCAAGTCTTTGATTTGTAACTTGTTCTGGTTCATATTAATGTTTAACAGATCCTTCATCCTTCCTCATCTCTAAAGGATTAGAGAGGATTTCTCAGAAATGTGACAAATAATAGACAAAAAGTGACGCCCTAAAACTTTATAAAAGATCTAAGACTAATTAAATTATCATAAATATGTTTGCTCAGCCCCAAGAACACGGACAAACAGGAACAACAGACACTCAGGAGCCATTGGTCCATAGGGGGCGGGATGAAGCCACTGACCTTAATGTCCTTAAATGTAAATTTCCAAAACTCATCTGTTTAGACCTGAGCCTCACTAACATAACCACACTCTCCTCTGTCCATGATGCTTTTAACTTTGTATTTTAACTGTTTTTAAAATGCGCTTTTTTACTTGTATGTAAGACGCTTAAGAAATAAAATGTATTATTATTATTATTATTAAATGTCCTTTAATGTCCATAGAAATGTCCATAAAAATGTCCATAAAAATGACCATAAATGTCTGATATCATCACTGTCCTGAGACGCTCCTGCATCGACAAAGAATGAAACAAAAACCCAGTGAGTTCTACTTTTGGAAATACAAGAGAAATGTAGGGAAATGTGAGAAGCCAGGTCTCTGTATAGAAAATGTCCAGGATTTACACGTCTGCTCTTTAGCTTCTTTGGCGCCTAAAGGTTTAATAATCGTCTTCTTTTGACAGTGAAAAGAACTGCCTTAAAGTATTTATTCCAGCAAGATTTATTAATTATGTTGAGCAATATCACAGTTTATAAAGTTTGGGGGAAACAGAAAAAGACGAAAAACACTAAAAAAGGTGAATAAATTTCTGCATGTTTTATAAAACTGATTGATTCGTATTGTCCTTAAATAAAATAATAAACAGTACTTTTTCCTTTGTTTACACATATCGTTGCAGTCTGGTTATTCGCCACTAGGCGGAGTCACATCAAAGAACCAACAGCTGCAGTTAAACACATCACACTGAACAATTACCTTCTTGTCTTCAGTGTGAAATAAAATCCTTTCTCTCTGGACTTTTGGAAAAACCACAAACACTGAGAAAGAATCGACAAGAGGCCGACTCAAACTCGCTCCAAGGGGTTTCTGGGTAAAAGAAGAAGAAGAGACCATAGTTTAACACATTACACATTAATAACTGTGCGTGTGTTGTATCCATGTCATTGTTAAGTCAGGTTTATATGTATAGCACATCTACACCCTCTGCTCAAAGTAGTCCTTAGTATTACTGCATTATTAAATATCCATCTGATACTTCTGCCAGTCACAAGTCACTTTACCTGATGTTATTTCTGATGCTTATTCTGCTCATATTCATATTAAGTACAATAAGTGCAATATCTGTAAATATTCTGAACCAAGTGCAAGTATAACCCCAGAGTTTATTTTATTGTAATTATATAGTCCATCCATCCATCCATTTTCTACCCTTTAATCCATTTCTGGGTCAGGGGGGTGACAGTCAGAGATGCCACCCAAGTCTCATAGCACCAGCCCCTCACTGACCCTCTGCAGGTGGTGAGTCCACAGGAGGACGGCTGCTCTCTGAGTGTGAGCATAGCCTTGATCTTTCAGTGGGGGCTTTGGGCAAAGTGGGGTTAAGTGTCTTGCCCAAGGACACAACGACAGCAGTCATCAGTGGGAGTCGGTGGAGAAGGTGTAGAGGTGGGAATTGAACCCACGACCTTCAGGCCTGAAGGCCAATGCTCTACCAACTGAGCTACTGTCGCCCCATATATAGTTAATTATATAGTCTATTATCTTAAATAACAGACCTATTTGATGTGTGCGTCTGAGTCTTATGTCCTCTCTCTGCTGAAACGTGCAGCGATGACACCGTCTCCTCTGTGAAGGTTTATCTTCTCAGTGCTTCTGTCCCGACCCCGAGGACAAACATGTTCCACGACACAGACACAGATTAAGATCAAAATTGGTTTTATTTATACGTTTCGCTTTTGTGGGAACTCTTGATTTTTTTATATACAGCAGATAAACCCAAAAAAACTGAAACCTGTGTCCAGAACACAAAAACCCAAAGTAGTCAAATTAAAAATGGACCTTTTTGTGAGAAGCAGCGACTCGAGTCTAATCACGTGTTTATGTTGTGTCTTTAAACGCACACATGTTTTCTCCTGAGTATTTAGACTCACAACAGCATTATTAGACATTAGAGATTAGAGATTAGGGCCTGAAGAGTCACTTATGGACTTCACACCAACAATCTGAGTATTGTTATTAGTAGTTTTATCTTTTTAGATCCAGCTCAGAAACATTGAGCTCTTTTTTATTTCATCAAATGTATTTATTGCTGTGAGCTCAAATAAAGTATAAACTTAGATTCTGACCATTTTAAAATCATTTCTGACTAATGAGAATCTCAGAAACAACACAAAGGGAAAAAGTGCAAAGTCAGAACAGGAAAAAAACACTTTTAGTAAGGAAACCTTCCTGAATCTTTTCCCCATAATCTCTGATGAATAAAGGGCTGTGAGGTCATGACTTCATAGTCACCAAACTAAAAAGATTATTGTTCTTTCCAGGTCCACCTGTATAAATAAGTGCTGCATCTGATTTAAAACACACATGTTTTGTAAACTGACTTTTTAAGCTAGTATTGATCATATAAAACAGACCTGGAGTTGTTTTTTGATCCATCCACTCTAACTTCAGGCACATGTATGTCTGCACAAGACATCACTCTGTTTTATGATTTTAAAAACATAAATATTTCCCTTTAATTAGTTTGGTAATTATTCTCAGGTGGAATGACATGATTTACAAACATATGCTGTGTTTGTAGCCAGTAATCTCTGAAGTAGGAAAATAACTAATCCAACTCCGCCCTCTGGTGGCAGCATAAGGAGTTACAGTTTATACTGTGCATACTATGACAAAGTATTTAGGTCAATGTCATTTTTTATGGACACAAAAATGCGTAATTTATCATTAAAAATCATTTACTGCAAGGTACATGTTGTGCCACACACAGGGACTGGACTCCTGCTGGGACTCTGAGGAGCACAGGGACTGGCCTCCTGCTGGGACTCTGAGGAGCACAGGGACTGGCCTCCTGCTGGGACTCTGAGGAGCACAGGGACTGGGCTCCTGCTGGGACTCTGAGGAGCACAGGGACTGGCCTCCTGCTGGGACTCTGAGGAGCACAGGGACTGGCCTCCTGCTGGGACTCTGAGGAGCACAGGGACTGGCCTCCTGCTGGGACTCTGAGGAGCACAGGGACTGGCCTCCTGCTGGTCCCAGAGTCAGAACTAAACATACGGAGGCAGCGTTTCAGATTTATGCTAATATCTGGAACAGTCTTCCTGAACATGTGAGACAGACTTGCCTTGAACACAGGATCCTGGGCTGAAAAAGTGGAAAATAAACAACATCAGTAAATGTTGTCATAACTGTTGTTCTTTCTTTCTTTCTTTTTTTATACTAAACATATTAGCAACATTATTATTGTGACACTCACAATTCATACAGAGATGGATCTACTTAAAGTATAGTAATAATAAAGACATAACGTGCGACAGTTTGCTAAATAGTAATATCCAGAGTCACGGCTTTACGATTGTTGTGGGTATTTGTCTCTCGCTTCTCACAGAGATGGGTCTCCATAAAGGAAACACATGTCAGACCTATTGTATATGTTTACAGTGGTCGGGCAAACCGGAGCACCTGGAGGAAACCTACGCAAACATGCAAACTCCACACAGAGATGTCTGAATCGAACCCAGGAACTTGTTGATGTGAAAGCACTTCTGCAGTTATACAAAGATTGATTGTGGAGCCACAATAATATTTATAAAAGGGTCTTGGACAAAGACAAATGGAAATAAAATTACAATAAATAAATAACATTATTTATCTTTTAAAGCTGGGATACTCAAACCACAGTAATGCATATAATAAGTTCCTCTCGAACAGTTTGGTTCTATGACTATGCACGTATTTTTAGCCTTTTTCCAGGAAAGTGAAAGAGAAAGGACCAGCCTCACTGAACCTAAGGCGTTCAATAGTGACTCACACGGCTGCTTTTTTCTAGTACACAAAAGATAAAGTTTTATTTCAAGATCAAGACAGCATTTGATTTGTTCACAACATTTTACTTTTACTAAACTCTAGAAACTTAGGTACCGCAGCTTTAATAAGTAGACAGACAGACAGACATGTTCCTGCACTGTCTCACTCCACATACGTTATAGAAGTGGAGAAAACAGTGTAAAATGTTGTAAATGTGTGAAATGTTGTTATGTTATAGATCCATGTGTTGTTCTGTCTCCTCCTCCCGTGACGTTACCCAGCATGCACCGCGCTCCCACACACAGCACGGCTCCACAGGATGAGGCTGGGTAGGTGATCTCCGCTTCACAAATACACGCTTTTCCTTCATTTAAACCTGGATCTTACTCTGTGGACTTGTTAGTTCTGTTCAGTCACACCATCTCAGTCCTGTCGCAGTCAAAGCGTTTCCTTTCACGTGTTGGCCTTTGAAAGCGACACAGACAGAGCCAGAAAAAGTTAGTGGACGCTTCTTGTTCCAGAGAGAGCGAGAATAACGTAGAATAACGTAGAAGAAGAAGTGGGTTTTCTCTGTGTTTGGTCAAAACGGGAAAGGAAAGTACAATGGTGTCTGGAGGCGCGAGGAGAAGGCGATACGGCTCTGGAAACGTGAGACATTTACACGGAGACGGACCCTGTCTGTCTGTCACCTCCTGTCTGTCACCTCCTGTCTGTCACCTCCTGTCTGTCACCTCCTGTCTGTCTGTCACCTCCTGTCTGTCATCTCCTGTCTGTCTGTCACCTCCTGTCTGTCACCTCCTGTCTGTCACCTCCTGTCTGTCTGTCACCTCCTGTCTGTCACCTCCTGTCTGTCACCTCCTGTCTGTCTGTCACCTCCTGTCTGTCACCTCCTGTCTGTCACCTCCTGTCTGTCTGTCACCTCCTGTCTGTCATCTCCTGTCTGTCTGTCACCTCCTGTCTGTCTGTCTGTCTGTCACCTCCTGTCTGTCTGTCACCTCCTGTCTGTCACCTCCTGTCTGTCATCTCCTGTCTGTCTGTCACCTCCTGTCTGTCATCTCCTGTCTGTCTGTCACCTCCTGTCTGTCTGTCATCTCCTGTCTGTCTGTCATCTCCTGTCTGTCTGTCATCTCCTGTCTGTCTGTCACCTCCTGTCTGTCAGCTCCTGTCTGTCTGTCTGTCACCTCCTGTCTGTCTGTCATCTCCTGTCTGTCTGTCACCTCCTGTCTGTCAGCTCCTGTCTGTCTGTCTGTCACCTCCTGTCTGTCTGTCATCTCCTGTCTGTCTGTCATCTCCTGTCTGTCTGTCACCGTCTGTCTGTCTGTCACCGTCTGTCTGTCTGTCATCTCCTGTCTGTCTGTCACCTCCTGTCTTTCTGTCACCTCCTGTCTGTCTGTCACCGTCTGTCTGTCTGTCACCTCCTGTCTGTCACCTCCTGTCTGTCTGTCCCCTCCTGTCTGTCCCCTCCTGTCTGTCCCCTCCTGTCTGTCCCCTCCTGTCTGTCTGTCCCCTCCTGTCTGTCCCCTCCTGTCTGTCCCCTCCTGTCTGTCACCGTCTGTCTGTCTGTCACCTCCTGTCTGTCACCTCCTGTCTGTCACCTCCTGTCTGTCTGTCACCTCCTGTCTTTCTGTCACCTCCTGTCTTTCTGTCACCTCCTGTCTTTCTGTCACCTCCTGTCTGTCACCGTCTGTCTGTCTGTCCCCTCCTGTCTGTCTGTCACCTCCTGTCTTTCTGTCACCTCCTGTCTTTCTGTCACCTCCTGTCTTTCTGTCACCTCCTGTCTTTCTGTCACCTCCTGTCTGTCACCGTCTGTCTGTCTGTCCCCTCCTGTCTGTCTGTCCCCTCCTGTCTGTCTGTCACCTCCTGTCTGTCTGTCACCTCCTGTCTTTCTGTCACCTCCTGTCTGTCACCGTCTGTCTGTCACCTCCTGTCTGTCACCTCCTGTCTGTCTGTCTGTCACCTCCTGTCTTTCTGTCACCTCCTGTCTGTCTGTCACCTCCTGTCTGTCTGTCACCTCCTGTCTGTCTGTCACCTCCTGTCTGTCTCCTCCTGTCTGTCTGTCACCTCCTGTCTGTCTGTCACCTCCTGTCTTTCTGTCACCACCTGTCTGTCTGTCACCTCCTGCCTGTCTGTCTGTCACCTCCTGTCTGTCACCTCCTGTCTGTCACCTCCTGTCTGTCACCTCCTGTCTTTCTGTCACCTCCTGTCTGTCTCCTCCTGTCTGTCTCCTCCTGTCTTTCTGTCACCTCCTGTCTTTCTGTCACCTCCTGTCTGTCTGTCACCTCCTGTCTGTCACCTCCTGTCTTTCTGTCACCTCCTGTCTTTCTGTCACCTCCTGTCTTTCTGTCACCTCCTGTCTGTCTGTCACCTCCTGTCTGTCTCCTCCTGTCTGTCTGTCACCTCCTGTCTGTCTGTCACCTCCTGTCTGTCTGTCACCTCCTGCCTGTCTGTCACCTCCTGTCTGTCTGTCACCACCTGTCTGTCACCACCTGTCTGTCACCTCCTGTCTTTCTGTCACCTCCTGTCTGTCACCTCCTGTCTTTCTGTCACCTCCTGTCTTTCTGTCACCTCCTGTCTTTCTGTCACCTCCTGTCTGTCTGTCACCTCCTGTCTGTCTGTCACCTCCTGTCTGTCTCCTCCTGTCTGTCTGTCACCTCCTGTCTGTCACCACCTGTCTGTCACCTCCTGTCTGTCACCTCCTGTCTGTCTGTCACCTCCTGTCTGTCTGTCACCTCCTGTCTGTCTGTCACCTCCTGCCTGTCTGTCACCTCCTGTCTGTCTGTCACCTCCTGTCTGTCTGTCACCTCCTGTCTGTCTGTCACCTCCTGCCTGTCTGTCACCTCCTGTCTGTCTGTCACCACCTGTCTGTCTGTCACCACCTGTCTGTCTGTCACCTCCTGCCTGTCTGTCACCTCCTGCCTGTCTGTCACCTCCTGCCTGTCTGTCACCTCCTGCCTGCCTGTCTGTCTGTCACCTCCTGCCTGTCTGTCACCTCCTGCCTGTCTGTCACCACCTGTCTGTCTGTCACCTCCTGCCTGTCTGTCTGTCACCTCCTGCCTGTCTGTCTGTCACCTCCTGCCTGTCTGTCTGTCACCACCTGTCTGTCTGTCACCTCCTGCCTGTCTGTCTGTCACCTCCTGCCTGCCTGTCTTTCTGTCACCTCCTGCCTGTCTGTCACCTCCTGCCTGCCTGTCTGTCACCTCCTGCCTGTCTGTCACCTCCTGTCTGTCTGTCACCACCTGTCTGTCTGTCTGTCACCACCTGTCTGTCTGTCACCACCTGTCTGTCTGTCTGTCACCTCCTGCCTGTCTGTCTGTCACCTCCTGCCTGTCTGTCACCTCCTGCCTGTCTGTCTGTCACCTCCTGCCTGTCTGTCACCTCCTGCCTGCCTGTCTTTCTGTCACCTCCTGCCTGTCTGTCACCTCCTGCCTGCCTGTCTGTCTGTCACCTCCTGCCTGTCTGTCACCTCCTGTCTGTCTGTCACCACCTGTCTGTCTGTCACCACCTGTCTGTCTGTCACCACCTGTCTGTCTGTCTGTCACCTCCTGTCTGTCTGTCTGTCACCTCCTGTCTGTCTGTCTGTCACCTCCTGCCTGTCTGTCTGTCACCTCCTGTCTGTCTGTCTGTCACCTCCTGCCTGTCTGTCTGTCGCCTCCTGCCTGTCTGTCACCTCCTGCCTGTCTGTCTGTCGCCTCCTGTCTGTCATCAGCTGAGTGGTTATATAGAAATTAAACATATAATGTATAACTCAGTGATAAGATAAGATGTGCTTTATTTATCTCACAAAGGAGAAATGTACATGTCACATTTGTCATGGATAGAACACTCAGATTGTGCAAAAGGAGGAAATGTGCAAACATGTTACATGCAGGATATATATGTACAATAAAGTGACAAGTGATAGTGTAGTAACGGGAGTGTGTTTAGAGCAAGCCCCGTGATCCAAGATGGCGGCGTATTCAAATGAATGGTTGTGCTCAGTGGCGCTTTGTGACGGCATGGGGGCTGAAAGATTAGCGGAAGTCGCCTGAAACTCTCAAAGATCTATGGGAAACTCTCAAAGATCTATGGGAAACTCTCAAAGATCTATGGGAAACTCTCAAAGATCTTTGGGAAACTCTCAAAGATCTATGGGAAACTCTCAAAGATCTATGGGAAACTCTCAAAGATCTATGGGAAACTCTCAAAGATCTATGGGAAACTCTCAAAGATCTTTGGGAAACTCTCCTGTATTTGGGCATCGTCTGGTCCTCCTGGTTCTGTGCAGTGGATGATCTCCCATAATGCTTTGCGCCAAACACGTGTGTGTGGGTCTCACACCGGGTCTCACGCACGTGCACAGAGGGGCTCGGCTCTGACCAATCAGAGCAGTTCATCAGAGCGGGAGTTAGAGCGAGAGCCAGACGAGCAGAGTTTGTGGCACTAAAGTGTGGATTTAAACAAAACCGAAGGATTTAAGAAGAAAAAAAGTTCAGGACGACAAGGGACACTAAAATCCCCACAAAATCTGACCTTTATGAAAGCTGTAGGTTCTCTGTCAGGTTCTCTGTCAGGTTCTCTGTCAGGTTCTCTGTCAGGTTCTCTGTCAGGTTCTCTGTCAGGTTCTCTGTCAGGTTCTCTGTAGGTTCTCTGTCAGGTTCTCTGTCAGGTTCTCTGTCAGGTTCTCTGTCAGGTTCTCTGTAGGTTCTCTGTCAGGTTCTCTGTCAGGTTCTCTGTAGGTTCTCTGTCAGGTTCTCTGTCAGGTTCTTTGTTAGGTTATCTGTCAGGTTATCTGTCAGGTTCTCTGTAGGTTCTCTGTCAGGTTCTCTGTCAGGTTCTCTGTCAGGTTCTCTGTCAGGTTCTATGTAGGTTCTCTGTCAGGTTCTCTGTCAGGTTCTCTGTTAGGTTATCTGTCAGGTTCTCTGTAGGTTCTCTGTCAGGTTCTCTGTCAGGTTCTATGTAGGTTCTCTGTCAGGTTCTCTGTCAGGTTCTCTGTAGGTTCTCTGTCAGGTTCTCTGTCAGGTTCTCTGTCAGGTTCTCTGTTAGGTTATCTGTCAGGTTCTCTGTAGGTTCTCTGTCAGGTTCTCTGTCAGGTTCTCTGTCAGGTTCTCTGTAGGTTCTCTGTCAGGTTCTCTGTCAGGTTCTCTGTCAGGTTCTCTGTCAGGTTCTCTGTCAGGTTCTCTGTCAGGTTCTCTGTAGGTTCTCTGTCAGGTTCTCTGTCAGGTTCTCTGTCAGGTTCTCTGTCAGGTTCTCTGTCAGGTTCTCAGTCAGGTTCTCAGTCAGGTTCTCAGTCAGGTTCTCAGTCAGGTTCTCAGTCAGGTTCTCAGTCAGGTTCTCTGTCAGGTTCTCTGTCAGGTTCTATGTAGGTTCTCTGTCAGGTTCTCTGTCAGGTTCTCTGTCAGGTTATCTGTCAGGTTCTCTGTAGGTTCTCTGTCAGGTTCTCTGTCAGGTTCTCTGTCAGGTTCTCTGTCAGGTTCTCTGTCAGGTTCTCTGTCAGGTTCTCTGTCAGGTTCTCTGTCAGGTTCTCTGTCAGGTTCTCTGTCAGGTTCTCTGTCAGCTGAGGTCGCGCTGTTTTAGTTTACATTGAGTTCTATGGGGAAAACATCTGAGTAGCCCACGTGAATTTAGTCTGGTTTAGTCTGGTTTAGTCTGCAGTACCGCGAGAATCCCCCGAGCACGTGGGTTCTTCAGCTCCAAGCTGTAACACTCTGACCAGTTATTATAATAGATCCATGGTTTAGAGACACTTGTTTACAGTGTTTATACCTTGTTTACAGTGAGATTGTTTACAGTGAGATTGTTTCCTGTGAGTTTGGGGAATGACTGCTGCCTTTGATTACATTAGTAAGTAGGGCTGAAACAACTAATCGATTAATCGACGACTAATCGATTATTGAAATAGTCGACAACTATTTTAGTAATCGATTAATTGTTTTCTGGTTCACACGGACTCAAACAGAGAAAAAATGACATGAAAATGTAGTATTTTTGATTAAAACCGACTTTGTTTTTATAATTTCATGAATATCTGTCTGTCTCATCCAATCAGAGCAGAATTAGCACAAAGAGCCTGTTACAAACATTTACTTTAAGTTTACGCCTCAATACGTCCGAGTGTTGCCACTTTAGCTTTTTGTGATGAAAAAATATTTTTTTTCTACACAATTCACAGCCAAGCGATTACTCGATTAATCGTAAAAATAATCGATAGTTGCAGCTCTATCAGTAAGTAAGTTGGTAATGTTTATTTAGAGCCCAGACACATCAGAGGAACAGATCAAACATGGTCCCACTGAAATAAGGAAAATCCATCTGTTGTGGTTGTATTCAGGGCTGTAATAAATGTTACTGATCAGTCGGACGATTATTCTAGTGAGTAATCAATAAGTTGTTTACATTCCTGGGAGGGCAGTGAATATGGGATTTTTGGTCTGCTTTATTCTCCTGTATTTCTTTGATATTTTATACCATGACACTTTTACTGACTGTGTAGCGCTCTGTTTTTGAAAAGTGCTATACATATAAAGATGTATTATTATTATTATTATTATACCCAAGTGATGCCCCGAGAGACATTTTAATTTCATCCTGAAGTCTGAATTGTTTGCGTGATAAAACCTTCACAGATAGTTTATGTAAGATTTAATATAGTTGTGATTAACAGCACATGTATGGATGTATTCAGACCAAGCTAATGTAAAATACAATGTTTAAATAAAAATGTAGTGGCCATTACTCTCCTGCTCCTGATGTACACTCTGAGCTAATGTCCTTTGTTGACTCGGATGTTTACTTGCTCTGCTTCAGGCTTTTTGAGACTGAATCCGTTCTGACATCTGCTGCTCTGCCCTTGTGTGCATTTGTTACTCCTCTTTCCTGAGTAAACTGGGCACTATTTTACCCTAAACTATATTTGTAATCTAGTGTAAGTGCGTCATCGGTGTATGTTAACTTGGCAATCATTTGCATACAGCTGTGTTTTTGATGAGGTGGTGAATTCATGTTGTTAAAGGTCCACTGTCTTTGGTCAAAACAAGTGGTGGTCGTATCTCCTCCTCCTGCACTTCAACCTCTGAGCGAGCAGATAGCGGACGTGGAAACTGCTGCTGTGGATGTCTGTCTGTTGTACAATCACGTTCATCATGTTTCCTTTGTCACTACGGACTGATAAGACTTATCTCTCTTTACGGCAGCACAGACTAGAGTCGATTTCACATATGCATTTATGACCGTAACAACATGTCTTGGCGATTTAAAAAGGTGTGGTTATGTCTCTTTAAACTTACTAGGGACTCTGCTGACGAAACTGAAATGTAGTTTATAAAGAACTATTTAAATACTTTGGAAATACCATGATTTGATTTCATAATGTTCATTTGCTCCATTCCAAGTTCCCATGTTTGTATTTTAGCCTTAGAAATAGTTTGCTGGAATAAGAACAAGGTACAGTGAGCACTCCTGCTTCTGTCACATCTTTGGATTATCTTTTAGAATCAGAAAAATCAGAGTCAGATTTATTGCCATCTGGAGAAAAAAAACTACATACAAACAGCCTGAAACAGGAGACACCAACACTACAAAACACACACACTCAGACAGACAAAAACAGACATAAAAGCTAAAACAAGTGGATTACCTTCAGGGCTCTTTCCTACAAATATGCAAAAGATTAAATTATGACGGCAGGAATTTGGTCTGATTTGTTCACAACCTAAATTGTTTATGAAAAAGGTTTGATAACTTTATCTCTTTATCATAACTCTACTTTCCTGCTGCATGAAAATAAATCCATGTCTAGTCAAAAAGCCTCATGAAGGAACTCTGTCTCCTCAGATCCAGACATGGACCACAGCCTCGTGTTCTCCTCTCTGCATGAGGCCTGTGAAGATGCTCTGTCCGCTCTGTCTCACCCCGAGGACCTGCCGTACGGCGCCGTGGCCGAGCGTCTGGCCGTGAGCCTGAGACAGATCCGGTCCCACAGCGAGGCCCTGGAGCCCGTGGTCACCAGCTTCACCGCCGTTTACCACCTCTACGACTTCGACGAGCAGACGCCAGGGAACGGATACCGCTCTCTCGTGAAGGTAAGAGGCGAAAACTACAAAGAAACGCTGAAGAGGTGTAGGGTCGGAGAGTGTTTGGGTCTGTGTTGTGTGAGACGTGGACTTGTGTTGTGTTGTGTTGCGTTATGTTGTGTTACTGTTCTACTGTGATGATTCTGACCTTTTGTTCCAAATTGTCTGTCTCTGTAAGGAATTTCGGACAGGTCCTTTATTTGTCCCACTGTGGGGATATTTCAGTTAGATACATAAACACATCAAGGCATGCGCTCCTTATAGGCAAAGGAGGTTCAGTGTCTTGCCCAAGGATACAACGACAGGCCTCGCATTGGGCTCGAACCCACAACCTTCAGGCTCAAAGGCCAATGCCAATCTATTTTTAAAAGTGTAGATACAGGAGAATGTTTTAACCACGTGACAATTGCTGTTTTTCAGATAACACTGCACTTTCTGTTATAAAGCTATAATAATGATACTGGTAGATTTCTAATCTCAGGGAAAATGAACCCAAAGATACATGAAGTTCTAACTTAAAAATCCCACGACGCCTAAAACTATGACACGACGAGACTTGCCTTTTCCTTTATCAGATAAAACTGTCAAAGTGCACTCATGATAAGATAAAACCTCCTTGTTTAAGACATTTGTTGTTGTTTTTGACATTTGCAGTGACCCTTGTTTTTCTGAGCACTTTAAGAACAGCCAGATTTATATAATTATAACAAGATCATTATCTGTTTTAAAAAGGAAATTATAAATCTAAATAATCAGTCTGCTTTAGAGGCCACACAAAGTGCATTGTTGCACCATTGTCACCTGAGGTTTCAGTTCCAACTGCAGACAGTACAGGAACACTCTCTGCCCTTCTGTTGTAGATCTGGGGATTATGAACCTATGTCTGCAGTGTTCTGCTTTTATCTGCGATTTACAGAAACATTTCAACATACTGGTAGTTCTTTATGATTGTAGTTCAGTCATGGATTTAATAAATGAATTCAAATATTCCATAATTCATAACAGTTACAGAACAGGTGACACCATGAGCCTCTGAGGGAGTGGCTGGGATTGGAACTGTAACGGTTACAGGACAGGTGACACCATGAGCCTCTGAGGGAGTGGCTGGGATTGGAACTGTAACGGTTACAGGACAGGTGACACCATGAGCCTCTGAGGGAGTGGCTGGGATTGGAACTGTGACGGTTACAGAACAGGTGACACCATGAGCCTCTGAGGGAGTGGCTGGGATTGGAACTGTAACGGTTACAGGACAGGTGACACCATGAGCCTCTGAGGGAGTGGCTGGGATTGGAACTGTGACGGTTACAGAACAGGTGACACCATGAGCCTCTGAGGGAGTGGCTGGGATTGGAACTGTAACGGTTACAGGACAGGTGACACCATGAGCCTCTGAGGGAGTGGCTGGGATTGGAACTGTAACGGTTACAGGACAGGTGACACCATGAGCCTCTGAGGGAGTGGCTGGGATTGGAACTGTGCTCACTCAGTGCAGTTTAATTTTGATTATAAGTCGGCTCTATTAATGTTCATGTTTATATATAAGAAATCACCTGTTCAACCATAGACCGTATGGACTGACCGAGTGCTACGTCACCTGTAGTTAGGGATAGATACATAAATACTTTATTTTGTATTTGTATTTGAATGGGACAGTACATGTCAAAGAACACACATGGTTGAGCATATTTGTCGACACGTCGGATTAGGGCGATTTGGCTGAAAACTATATCACAATGTAAGTAATTCATATCCATCGATAACGATATACAGTATATTGATTGTTTTTGTTTTTTTACCTAAATAAATACATTTGGTGTCGGCTAACACACGTTAGCAGGGTTGTTTACTGTTACGGGGACTGAGGCTGGAGGCATATGTTCACAAGCAGTCTCCCCCATAGTTAGTCCAGGTTTAGTCCAGGTTTAGTCCAGGTTTAGTCCTGGTTTAGTCCTGGTTTAGTCCTGGTTTAGTCCTGGTTTAGTCCTGGTTTAGTCCTGGTTTAGTCCTGGTTTAGTCCAGGTTTAGTCCAGGTTTAGTCCTGGTTTAGTCCTGGTTTAGTCCTGGTTTAGTCCAGGTTTAGTCCAGGTTTAGTCCTGGTTTAGTCCAGGTTTAGTCCAGGTTTAGTCCTGGTTTAGTCCTGTTTTAGTCCTGGTTTAGTCCTGGTTTAGTCCAGGTTTAGTCCAGGTTTAGTCCTGGTTTAGTCCAGGTTTAGTCCAGGTTTAGTCCTGGTTTAGTCCTGGTTTAGTCCTGGTTTAGTCCAGGTTTAGTCCTGGTTTAGTCCTGGTTTAGTCCAGGTTTAGTCCTGGTTTAGTCCTGGTTTAGTCCTGGTTTAGTCCAGGTTTAGTCCAGGTTTAGTCCAGGGTCCTGGTTTAGTCCTGGTTTAGTCCAGGTTTAGTCCAGGTTTAGTCCAGGTTTAGTCCAGGTTTAGTCCAGGTTTAGTCCAGGTTTAGTCCAGGTTTAGTCCAGGTTTAGTCCAGGTTTAGTCCAGGTTTAGTCCTGGTTTAGTCCTGGTTTAGTCCTGGTTTAGTCCAGGTTTAGTCCAGGTTTAGTCCAGGTTTAGTCCAGGTTTAGTCCAGGTTTAGTCCAGGTTTAGTCCTGGTTTAGTCCTGGTTTTGTCCTGGTTTAGTCCAGGTTTAGTCCAGGTTTAGTCCAGGTTTAGTCCAGGTTTAGTCCAGGTTTAGTCCAGGTTTAGTCCTGGTTTAGTCCAGGTTTAGTCCAGGTTTAGTCCAGGTTTAGTCCTGGTTTAGTCCTGGTTTAGTCCTGGTTTAGTCCTGGTTTAGTCCAGGTTTAGTCCAGGTTTAGTCCAGGTTTAGTCCAGGTTTAGTCCAGGTTTAGTCCAGGTTTAGTCCAGGTTTAGTCCAGGTTTAGTCCAGGTTTAGTCCTGGTTTAGTCCAGGTTTAGTCCAGGTTTAGTCCAGGTTTAGTCCTGGTTTAGTCCTGGTTTAGCTCCTGTTTTGGCTGTTTTCTTGTGTCTTGTGTCCCCGTGACAGCTCCGTGCTTCCCAATAAAAAAGTTCATCTCTTGCTTTAGTCGAATGCATCGTGTCTCTGTCCACTGCCTCTGCCGCCGCACATGCTGTTCCTCACACGGACGTACATAACCATTGACACGGCATTGAAACACGATCCATAGATTCATGGACAATACGCACGGTGCGGTTGTTGTTTTTGCATTTCCCAGAACGTTTTGCGGTTCATACTCGGCTGTGATAGGTCAAGAAGCCTCTGCCTACATCCCCCAGAATGCCGCGCGCTTCGGACTCTGCTTTACTTCTGTGTTTTCGTCCTGTTTTTTCTAACGAAGTGAAGTTGAACTGTTGAACATTCTATCAACCCTGTTTTCTATTGATATCAAACACGTGTCTATGTCGATATATATCGTTATATCGCCGAGCCCTACGCCAGATTGTAGCCAAATAAAAACGGAAAACTGAAGCCGCCAAGGAATATATATATAAATATAAATTAATAGTGAAAAGATAAGACCGCTGGTCCACGTTCTGTAGCTGAGGTCCTGGATCTACAGCCCGTCCGTCCGTGGGAGCGGATCCCTTTCTCAATATATGGGTCTCCCCGAGGTTTCTCACTTTTTCCCACTAGGTTTTTTTATGAGTTTTTCCTCTGATGCAGGAGTCTGTTGGGCAGTTAGTGTCTAACTAGAAGGACTGTGATGATCCAGGACACTTTAACATTCTACATGTGTGACATTTATCAACATGTGTTCTATATTCTTCATGTGTCTTAACTGTTGATTCTCTGATCTGTGTTGGTGATTTCAATGGTTTTGTTAAGTCTCTGAGATGACTTCTGTTGTGATTTAGGGCTATACAAGAATACATTTTATTGTAATAAGAGCCATAAAAAAACCACGACCAAAGAGCGCTAAACTACAGATTTTTCCCTGAGCTCTTCCCTATTGGACTTCATTAAGTTAGGGGGTTAGCATCGTCCATGTATATACAATAGTCCCAATTGACTGTACATAAACTTGATTTGATTTAACTTTATGAACTGTTTTCCGTGTCAGGTCTTGCTGTCGTGCCTTCTCCACATCATAAACAAAGCTCGCTACGTCTCGTCCAACCTGCGAGGGGCCTTCTTCAGGGCGGACCACAACGCCACCGAGCTGGAGGCGTACTCGAGTGCCCTGTGTCAGCTGAGAGCACTGCTGCACCTGGCCCAGCGGCTGCTCAAAGACACCCCCTGTGGACACCTGTGCACACTGCAGGACGCAGCGCTGAGCCGCCATTTTGTGCAAGAGTACAGCTCCATGCACAAGGCCTGCTTCTACGGCCGCTGCCTGGGCTTTCAGGTCAGGACACTCTCCTCTAATGTTTACAGTTACACAATAAGTTCACCTTTCACCTTTCACCTTTCGTGGCCTCGCTGTTTCCCACATTTTTTGTTGACAGCTTTGTGGCTGTTAATCTTCCAACATCATACAGCCGCTAGTATAACATGTGTATAACATCATACAGCCACTAGTATAACATGTGTATAACATCATACAGCTGCTAGTATAACATGTGTATAACATCATACAGCTGCTAGTATAACATGTGTATAACATCATACAGCCACTAGTATAACATGTGTATAACATCATACAGCTGCTAGTATAACATGTGTATAACATCATACAGCCGCTAGTATAACATGTGTATAACATCATACAGCTGCTAGTATAACATGTGTATAACATCATACAGCCACTAGTATAACATGTGTATAACATCATACAGCTGCTAGTATAACATGTGTATAACATCATACAGCCGCTAGTATAACATGTGTATAACATCATACAGCTGCTAGTATAACATGTGTATAACATCATACAGCCGCTAGTATAACATGTGTATAACATCATACAGCTGCTAGTATAACATGTGTATAACATCATACAGCTGCTAGTATAACATGTGTATAACATCATACAGCTGCTAGTATAACATGTGTATAACATCATACAGCTGCTAGTATAACATGTGTATAACATCATACAGCTGCTAGTATAACATGTGTATAACATCATACAGCTGCTAGTATAACATGTGTATAACATCATACAGCCGCTAGTATAACATGTGTATAACATCATACAGCTGCTAGTATAACATGTGTATAACATCATACAGCTGCTAGTATAACATGTGTATAACATCATACAGCTGCTAGTATAACATGTGTATAACATCATACAGCTGCTAGTATAACATGTGTATAACATCATACAGCCGCTAGTATAACATGTGTATAACATCATACAGCCGCTAGTATAACATGTGTATAACATCATACAGCTGCTAGTATAACATGTGTATAACATCATACAGCTGCTAGTATAACATGTGTATAACATCATACAGCTGCTAGTATAACATGTGTATAACATCATACAGCCGCTAGTATAACATGTGTATAACATCATACAGCCGCTAGTATAACATGTGTATAACATCATACAGCTGCTAGTATAACATGTGTATAACATCATACAGCTGCTAGTATAACATGTGTATAACATCATACAGCTGCTAGTATAACATGTGTATAACATCATACAGCTGCTAGTATAACATGTGTATAACATCATACAGCCGCTAGTATAACATGTGTATAACATCATACAGCTGCTAGTATAACATGTGTATAACATCATACAGCTGCTAGTATAACATGTGTATAACATCATACAGCTGCTAGTATAACATGTGTATAACATCATACAGCTGCTAGTATAACATGTGTATAACATCATACAGCTGCTAGTATAACATGTGTATAACATCATACAGCTGCTAGTATAACATGTGTATAACATCATACAGCTGCTAGTATAACATGTGTATAACATCATACAGCTGCTAGTATAACATGTGTATAACATCATACAGCTGCTAGTATAACATGTGTATAACATCATACAGCTGCTAGTATAACATGTGTATAACATCATACAGCCGCTAGTATAACATGTGTATAACATCATACAGCCGCTAGTATAACATGTGTATAACATCATACAGCTGCTAGTATAACATGTGTATAACATCATACAGCTGCTAGTATAACATGTGTATAACATCATACAGCTGCTAGTATAACATGTGTATAACATCATACAGCCGCTAGTATAACATGTGTATAACATCATACAGCCGCTAGTATAACATGTGTATAACATCATACAGCCGCTAGTATAACATGTGTATAACATCATACAGCTGCTAGTATAACATGTGTATAACATCATACAGCTGCTAGTATAACATGTGTATAACATCATACAGCTGCTAGTATAACATGTGTATAACATCATACAGCTGCTAGTATAACATGTGTATAACATCATACAGCTGCTAGTATAACATGTGTATAACATCATACAGCTGCTAGTATAACATGTGTATAACATCATACAGCTGCTAGTATAACATGTGTATAACATCATACAGCCGCTAGTATAACATGTGTATAACATCATACAGCTGCTAGTATAACATGTGTATAACATCATACAGCCGCTAGTATAACATGTGTATATTCAGGGATGCACATAACTTTTTCAGTGAGGTTCTCAGATGAGTTCCAGGACATGATGTTTGGTACTCGCTCCTTTTGTCGCGCGGTTCTTAATCGAGATTTTATAAATTTGACTTTTTATTTATGTTTTAGTTACAGATATGTGTAAATACTGAGTCCAATTAGTGTTTTAAAATACTCTTGTACCGTTGATTATATTTTGTAAGAACCTCAGATTTCAGTCATTATTGTTATAAAACCATGAATTGTATTTTAATAATCCTGCAACATTGGTCAAGTAATAATTTCTTATCTATCCTTGTACAAACCTCACAACCTCAGACCTATTGACAGACTTTTTCTGAGCGCACAACCTTTAATGCAGAATAATGTGATTACTCAAACATGAACGCACCGAAGCCGACTCTGAGGTCACGGTTAAAACACGACTGAATCATTTATCTATGTTTAAATCGTTTAAAGCTGGGATATTTTACCTTTTTGACCCTCAAAGCCTCAAAGTGAGCTTGGGGCTTTTGAATATGGACACGGATATGTTTAGTTACGCTTCAGTTTGTACTCAATAATAAAACCAATTCACTCACTGTTTGACCAGCCAAGACATTGTCCTGTAAAATTACAGTTATCATCACAAAGACTTTAGGTAAACACATGTATGTAAACCTGCACATATGTCATCAAGACACCAAACAGACAGATCGCTCCTGGACCAAAACTAGGCCCCGTTAAGAAGGAGACGCTGCAAAGTGCAGAGCGTCTACACGACAACGGAAAACAATGTAGTTCCAGCTTGCAGCCTGTTCAATTGTTGTTAACGACTTTTAGTTTATGTCAGTCATGTTCATGGATCTTTAATAATGTCTGGATAGTGTTTTACTAGCTTATGTTTGGCCACAGGGGGCGCCATGGTACTGCAGACTAGATTACCCAGTTACCCAGAAAAATGTCCATAGAACTCGATGTAAACTAAACGGCTCAACCTCAGCTGACAGAGAACCTGAGAGAGAACCTGAGAGAGAACCTGAGAGAGAACCTGACAGAGAACCTGACAGAGAACTTGACAGAGAACCTGACAGAGAACAAAGTCAGATTTTGTGTGGATTTTAGTGTCCCTTGTCGTCCTGAACTTTTTTCTTCTTAAATCCTTCAGTTTTCTTTAAATCCACACTTTACTGCCACAAACTCTGCTTGTCTGACTCCCGCTCTAACGCTGCCATCTGATTGGTCAGAGTGTGGCCGAGCCCCTCTGTGTACGTGCTTGAGAGGCACACATGCGTAATTGGTGCAAAGCATCATGGGAGCTTGTCCACTGCGCAGGCCGGCAGGACCAGATGATGCCCAAATATGGGCGAGTTCCTCTAATCTCTCGGCCCTGTGTATGTCATTTGAATAGAACGCCATCTTGGATCACGGGGCTTGGTCAACTTGTATAGCGGCATTAGCGATACAAGTTTCCTTGTATTCAATATTTGCACATAACCCATAATACATTGTGCCTTTGACGGTATTGAAGCTGTAAAGTTAAATCCTCAGTGGTGCAGAGGAAGTGTGTGAGGTCGTTATTGTAAAGATGGAGGACAAGAAATATGAGCTTTGAATGGATATGGAGTGACTAAATTATTACATTGACAACAAATTGTCCAATTGTATTTTATTTGAATTGAATGGATTAGTCAAAATATCTATTACTAAAGTAGTGTTCCTACTTTAATCCATGGGGGGTCTCCAAATATTCCCTCCTGAGCAACAGTGGAGAGGAAAAACTCCCTTTTAGGAAGAAACCTCTGGCAGAACCTGGCCACAGGAGGGCGCCTCTGCCACGGCCTGTTGGGGACCCCTGCTGTAGACCCCTGCTGTGGACCCCTGCTGTGGACCCCTGCTGTGGACCCCTCCTGTCGACCCCTGCTGTGGACCCCTCCTGTAGACCCCTGCTGTGGACCCCTGGACCCCTCCTGTAGACCCCTGCTGTGGACCCCTCCTGTAGACCCCTGCTGTGGACCCCTCCTGTAGACCCCTGCTGTGGACCCCTCCTGTAGACCCCTGCTGTGGACCCCTCCTGTCGACCCCTGCTGTGGACCCCTCCTGTAGACCCCTGCTGTGGACCCCTCCTGTAGACCCCTGCTGTGGACCCCTCCTGTAGACCCCTGCTGTGGACCCCTCCTGTAGACCCCTGCTGTGGACCCCTCCTGTAGACCCCTGCTGTGGACCCCTCCTGTCGACCCCTGCTGTGGACCCCTCCTGTAGACCCCTGCTGTGGACCCCTCCTGTAGACCCCTGCTGTGGACCCCTCCTGTAGACCCCTGCTGTGGACCCCTCCTGTGGACCCCTGCTGTGGACCCCTCCTGTCGACCCCTGCTGTGGACCCCTCCTGTAGACCCCTGCTGTGGACCCCTCCTGTAGACCCCTGCTGTAGACCCCTGCTGTGGACCCCTCCTGTAGACCCCTGCTGTGGACCCCTTCTGTAGATCCCTGCTGTGGACCCCTCCTGTAGACCCCTGCTGTGGACCCCTCCTGTAGACCCCTGCTGTGGACCCCTCCTGTAGACCCCTGCTGTGGACCCCTCCTGTAGACCCCTGCTGTGGACCCCTTCTGTAGATCCCTGCTGTGGACCCCTCCTGTAGATCCCTGCTGTGGACCCCTCCTGTAGACCCCTGCTGTGGACCCCTCCTGTAGACCCTGCTGTGGACCCCTCCTGTAGACCCCTGCTGTGGACCCCTCCTGTAGACCCCTGCTGTGGACCCCTTCTGTAGATCCCTGCTGTGGACAGAGGTTAGAACGGACCTCGATGTGGACCGTTCTTCTGTCAGAGAGGACTGTGGCTCAAACCTGGCTCTGGTAACAACAGTCGCATCAGTTACATCAGCATCAGTAACAACAACAGCAGCAGCATCAGCAGTAGCATCAGCAGTAGCATCAGCAGTAGCATCAGCAGTAGCATCAGCAGTAGCATCAGCAGTAGCATCAGCAGTAGCAGCAGCAGCAGCACTAGCAGCAGTATCAGCAACAAAACATATGGCTGTTGGGATGTGGCATGTCACCTCACTGGGGGAGGAGCCTGAGTTCGTGGGGGAGGAGCCTGAGTTCGTGGGGGGAGGTTGAGATAATCCATGAAAATAATAAACCTACCTCTACTTACCTGATTGTAACGACCCTGAAGGGCCGTTACTCTGAGGGGGTCCCATGCACCCTGAAGTTATACACACAGGTGTACTCTGTGTTCCCCCAGTTGGTCTCCACCTTCAGGCGCACATGGGCAAACCCCTCTGAGCTCTGCTCTGGGAGAACGAACGTTTGGAAGGATGAGCCCTGATTGTCATAGAAAAACCTTCCAAGAAGTTTTTCTTCTCCATCAGGAGTCTTCATTCCCTGAAACAGAGGAAGCACATATGTGGTTAAGTCATTGTGAGGACCTGATTGGACAGGAAGGCAGTTTCTTTCACTTCAAATACAGTATCAACTATAACTAATCAACTGAACAAGCAAACACTCTAAACTAGGGTAGCTCAAACATTTCTACTCAATAAATGAAACATCAGTGCCAAACCTTCTCCTGCCTCAGCTGTGATAAATGCTAATTCAACTACTGAATTATAAAGATAATCAGTAAAGTGTTCAAGCACCTCTTTGTGACAAAAACATTTGTTTCTAAAGATGACAATGGGACTGTGATTATTTTGATCCCTCAAACCCGGATGAGCTCGAGGACGTGTGTGTGGAAAGGGAAGTCTGAGCCTCTCTGCTTAGACGGTTGCCTCTGCGACTCAGCATCAGGTAAAGTGGGAGAAAATGAATGAATGACTCACATAGACGGAGAAGTTCTTGGGTGCAGTGGTTGTTTCTCCAAAGGGTGACTGCATCGGTGTGATGTGTCCCAGAGTGATGTGGGAGATGTGGATCCTCTGAGCCAGTTGCACATGGAGCTGGCCCTTGTCTCCTTCGAAGGGCCAGCACTGACCCATTTGTAGACGGGAGTGTGAATGCAGCACCAACTGGTGTTTACGGGCCAGCCATCCCCACATCCACTCCACAAAGCCCTCCCGACAGTAGGTGCTCGTGGAGTATGACCGGAGCACTGTGGCCTCTGCAGACAAACACAAGCAAAGACATATTACACATTACTTTTGGCCTTTCAAAACAGTGAAATAATCAGTTTAAAAATGTATGTATCAATGGGTAATAATGTTATCAACTATTTACACTAATTTGTCTTTTGTATGGGGAGACTCAGGTGCTCTCATGCACCTGAGTCTTTGCAAGACTCAGCAAGATGGCGCCGGGTCAGGGCGCCTCAGTAAGAGCTCTGGTGTGCACTGTCTGTTCTATGTTGTTTTTCGTCTGTGATACACTTGCCACCGTGAAGTACGACCGGGAGACACTTCTTTACATTCGGGACCAAGCTTGTGGAGTATCGCAGGTCTTACCCGAACTGAGGTGCGTGGACTTTATTGAGTGCCCCACTCGTGAGGCCCGTCAAACAGGGCAGGCGGGCCGCGGCAATGGCCGCGAACAGAGCGGGGGGACTGGGCGTCTCCATCGTGCTCTCCGCGGTGTGGAGCAGGGTACCGGGAGCCGACGCAGGAGGCGCAGACACCGGGGAAAACGAGGCGGTCTGCTCGTTCGTAGCCGCTCCTCCAGGACCCCTTTGCCCTCCATCTACCTGGCCAACGTCCAGTCTCTGCCCAACAAGACGGACGAGCTTCTGTGTCGGGTCCAGAGCCAGCGCGAGGCCCGGGACTGTGTTCTGCCTCAGCGAGACGTGGCTCCACTCGAACGTCCCGGACTCTGCTGTTCAGCCCCCGGGATTCACCGTTCACCGCTCGGACAGAGTGAAGGAGACCACGGGGAAATCCAGAGGTGGAGGTGTGTGCTTTTTAATTAATCAGCGCTGGTGCACGGACACTCGCATCGTGAACCAAACATGTACTGCCAATCTGGAATGCCTGGTCTTGAGCTGTCGCCCTTTTTATCTTCCGCGGGAGTTTTCTGTGATATTTTTATGCGCTGTTTACATCCACCCACGAGCGGACTATACTGTAGCACTACAGGATCTGAGCGAGATCCTTCATAAATACGAGACTGCTCATCCTAACGCAGTGATTATTGTCGCTGGGGATTTTAACAAATGTAATTTAAAGACTGTACTCCCGAACTTTTACCAACATGTGACTTGAGCTACAAGAGGAGCACATGTTCTGGATCACTGCTACAGCAATGTGAAGGGAGCTTACAGGTCCAGTCTCAGACCTCCATTTGGAAAGTCCGATCACTCCTCTGTTCTCCTTCTTCCCTCATACTCTCAGAGGAGCAGGGAACATAAACCAACCTCTCGCACTGTGCAGTGTTGGTCTGAGGAGGCTAGCATGAAGCTACAAGGGTGTTTTGATGCCACTGACTGGTCTGTGTTTCAGTCAGAGGATGTTAATGAATTCTGTGACGCTGTGACTGGATACATACGCTTCTGTATTGACTGCTGTGTCCCACAGAAGGTCATTAAAGTACATCTCAGTCAAAACCCTTGGATGAATGCGGAAGTGAAACAAAAACTTCATGAGCGTGCGTTGGCTTTTCAATCTAACGATACAGTTGCCTATAAGCTATCCTGTTATGCATTGAAACGTTCTATTAAATCTGCAAAGCGCAGTTATGGGGACAAGTTAAAGGGTTATTTTAAGGAAGATGACCCTCGGCGCATGTGGAGCGGTATTAAAGCCATCACGTCCTGGAAACCTAGTGCCGGGAAAATCGGATCTGTTGGCCCAGCTCTGCCAAACGAGCTGAACGCGTTCTACTGCCGCTTCGAATCTGCCGATGCCTGTCCTACTGTCTTTCCTGATTGCCTCAATCAAGGTGCGTTCACCGTGACTCAGGAGGAAGTCAGGCGTGTCTTGTCCAGCACCATTGTCCGGAAAGCCCCAGGCCCGGACGGCATCCCTCCTCGTGTCCTGAATCTGTGCTCTGAGCAACTTGCCCCTGTTTTAACAGACATTTTTAACCTGTCGCTAAGGAACTGTACTGTGCCGAACTGCTTTAAAGAGTCGACCATCATTCCAGTTCCTAAGAAAACTCCTGTGACATGCCTTAATGACTATCGCCCTGTGGCCCTCACTTCTGTCCTAATGAAGACTTTCGAGCGGCTTGTGCTGGACTTCATTAAGAGCCAGATCCCTGTGAGTGTTGACCCGCTCCAGTTTGCTACAGACAGAACAGGAGTGTGGAGGATGCATCTCCTTTGCTCTGAACTCTGTCTATAGTCACTTGGACAATAGGAAATCTGTTGCAAGAATGCTGTTCATTGATTATAGCTCTGCTTTTAATTGTCTTGTCCCAGGTAAACTGATTGAAAAGCTCATGTCTCTCGGTTTAAGTGTTGCCATGTGTAAATGGATCTATAGCTTTTTAACTGACAGATCTCAGAGAGTGAAAATCAATGACTGTTTTTCAGATGTTGTTTCTGTGAGCACTGGATCTCCTCAGGGATGTATTTTGAGTCCTTTACTTTTTACACTGTACACTCATGATTGTGTGTCTTCCTCAGACTCTAACCTGATCATCAAATATGCTGATGACACCACCATCATCGGTCTCATCAGTAATAACGATGAATCCTCTTATAGAGCCGAGATCCAAAATGTGGTTCAGTGGAGTAAGGCTAACAACCTCCAGCTGAACGCATCCAAAACATGCGAACTGGTCTTTGATTTCAGTCGCAATAGTTCTCATTTGCCTGTCGCAATCATGGGCGTCGGACTGGGGGGGTAAAGGGTACCGAGTACCCAGGGCCCAAGGCGGGGAGGGGCCCTCTAAAGTATGTCTATATATGTAAATGTAATACGTATTGTGGCATTTTCATGTTATTTCAATTTTAATAAAAGGGGCCTTGCATAATAATAACCAACATTTTAAACTCAGCTTTCGTCTAAAAACTAATTTGTATGCTATATCAGGGCCCTGGCACCCCCTTACAAAATTACAAATGGTACGACCCACATGTGCGCTTGTTGCTGTCGCTGCAGCGTGTGTGACAAGCAGCGGCAGAAACGGGAAAAAAAAGAAATGTCTGTTCCAAGAATAATCAGGATTTCAGAAAAGAAAAGAAAGACAGGACAAGGGGAAAAAGTTTAATGAGCGCAAGCAATTGCTTACTTAGTTCTCCCACAATAGAGGTGAGGATGTAGAGTCGTGTTTAGGCAACATCAGGACAGGAAAAAAGTAGGGCCGGGACTTTAACGCGTTAATTGCGATTAATTAACGCCACAAAAATTAGTGCGTTAAATAAATTGGCGCATTTTAATCGCATGTGTTTTTTCCACCGCGGAACCTTCCTCACTAGAGAATGATTTTCACACGGACCGATTTTACTAGCGCGCCAAATGAACTCCGTGACTTTTCTTGTTCAAAAGTAAGTCATAACAACAATAGACCATGGATCTATTATATTAATGCATAGACCAAGAAATCTGAGTAAATTACAGACATAATTAGAGACGGGAAAGAGCGCTATGTGGATCTATCATGGATCTATTACAATAACGGGAGCTATGGTGTGTGAGGAGGAGGAGCAGCGGACAACTCCTCAGAGAAGGAGGAGCAGAAGGAGCAGCGACACAGGTCTGTGAGCTGCTATTGCTGATGTTTTAATTCGAATGCACACATAAAAAACGTATTAGATAAGCTTCAATGCTCACTGTTAGTGCAGTGGATTTTTGTTATAAAAAGCGCCTGTTGTTGTCAGAGTGTGGAGGCTATGAAAGCTACGTTATTTGATAGGAAAGAAGTCCGTCTGATCCCCTTATCATCCTCAATGAACATGTGTTGCTTAAGCTTATATATTCAGTCATTATTCAATTCAACTAAAAATCCATGTGAAAAAAAAACTTCTCACTGCTCTCAGGTCAAATATTTATATGCGATTATATATATGTGTATATATATATATATATATATACACATACATATACTGTATAGTACAGACCAACAGTTTGGACACACCTTCTTATTCAATGATTTTTTTTTGTTTTCATGACTATGAAAATTGTAAATTCAGACTCAAATAGCCCTTACACAGTCTGGGTGTGAATCTACAGCATTAGTCATGAAAAGAAAGATCACTCATTGAATGAGAAAGTGTGTCCAAACTTTTGGTCTGTACAGTATATTATTTATATTAGGGCTGTCAAGCGATCAACATTTTTAATCGAGTTAATTACAGCTAAAAGATTAAGATTAAGATTAGCTTTATTAATCTCACAACAGGAGAATCCATTTGGCATGGATAGAACACTCAGAATTGTGCAAAAAGTAAGAAATGTGCTAACATGTTAATGCAGGAAATATAGAATATATTTACAAAAGTGGCAATTAGAAAGAGGCAGTAAGAAGTGTCAATATTAGTGTCAATAGTAGTGCAGGTTTAAAAAAAAAAAAATAATTGTAATTAATCGCATTTCTAACTATCGGCAAAAATAAATAAATGACCACATAGTGTACATATGTACTGTATTTGTTTATTATAACAATAAATCCATATAAAATGGCACTAACATTAATAACATTCTGTCTTTCTGTTTAGACTGAGACCAAAACTATTGTTATTATAGATGTGGGACATTTCAAAACTGTCTGAGGCAGAATGTCATTAAATCAGTTTGATTTGATCGCAACATTTTACCCCAGCTTGAATTTTGCGAGTTTAGTTGCGTTTCAGAAGGAGACACAGGGGGGACATGGTCCAGCTTCAGCGGCGTGTTTGCGTGCACATGTTACTCACAGGTAAGACACGCACACAAATTGAAGAGAATAGTTCTATGGGTGCATGGTCTTGGATATGATCACGTTACGGCGGCGCCGTTCGCTGTGTTGTTGTTTGCAGCTCGCAGCTGCCCCGGGTCAAAACGCTGCAGGAGGATGCGCTCCTGTTCAATTCATAGCAAACAGCAGCAAGTACCTCGCGGCCACGCGTGTATTCTTTTTTAACTTCCCAGAGACCTGCTCTGATCTGTTGCCATCTCACACACACACGTGTCCACTGCATTCTGAGTGATATTATGGGATGCATGGGCATCGGACATGCGTCAATTGCGGTCTTTTTTTCGCAATTAATGCATATACATGTGTAAATATAATATACATGAAACATTTTGTAGGGGCCCATCGAGTCTGTTTGTACCCGGGGCCCAGAATTTTGTGCTACCCCCCTGGTCGCAATCGATAACTCCCAAGTGCAGATTGTAGAGGAGTGTAAGTTTCTGGGTTTAACTCTGTCTAACCTGAAATGGGTTAAAAACACTGACCGAGTCGTTAAGAAAGCTCGTCAGCGTCTCTACTTCCTGCGGAAACTTAGAGAATTTACCACTAACTCTAAGATTGTGCTTAACTTTTATGGCTGCACCATTGAGAGTTTACTTGTTGGTTCTGTGTCTGTGTGGTTTGGAAACATCACAGATAAAGAAAAGAGAGCTTTAAACAAGGTGCTCCGCTCTGCAAAGAGGACCGTGGGCTGTGAACTTCCTGTTCTGGAGGTTCTTTATCAATCCAGACTTTTTAACAGTGCCCTGAGAATTATCAGAGACTCTTCTGGCCACCCAGGAAAAGCCTTGTTCCAGCTTCTTCCCTCTGGCAGAAGATACTGTTCTCTGAGATGCAGGACATCTCGTCATGCTAACAGTTTTTTTCCACGAGCTGTTAACAGTTTGAATAGAGCACTTTAATGTTTTGCACTCGTATAGATCTGTTTTAAGTTGGTCAACTTCACGGTGACATTTGTTGTGACATTTGTTTACTGTTTTTAAAACTTGTTTTATTTTTGTCTTTTAATGTTGTTTTGTGTCTGTACTTGTCCTGTGCACACGGGGAACTTTTACAAATGTATTCCAATGTGGTGTATACATACTGCAAATGGCGAAATAAATGAATCTGAATCTGAATCTGTAGTTGGCTACTTTGAGAAATGGTGGTTGTCAAGAAGTTTTATTTGTTCTGTTTTGTTTTGGACTAATATTGAAACAAAGGAGAATATTCCTTGTAAGTTTGTAGCTGGTAGTTCTCTTATTGAAGTCCTGGGTCGTTACTTACGCTTGGAGTGGGTGGCGTGGTTTTCCATGCTGTCCGTCTTTATGGCAGTTATATACTGTGGTCCCTCGCGCCAAAACACTGAAATGATATATGGGTTACAATCTTTAAGTTTAATTACATTCTTAGATAGCTGTGGCCGAATCTCTTACCCAAATGTGGCGGAGCGAACGTCTGGAATAACACCAGGGCCACAATCAAAATGGGAATGATCAAAAATGGGAAGAGAGGCTTCCTGGGTGTTGGGGGAGGGGCTTCCCAGGAACAGCCAGTCTCCACCGTTGAAGGCTGTTCCTCTAATGGTTCCGGCTGATTTCCAGTCTTTTTTAGACCTTTTCTCCTTTTGAAGACTCTGTAACAAACAAAACACATCAGTCTCACTGGTTCTGGAGGAAATCAGCAAATCTTCATGATTATAAAGAATTTCTACAACACAACAAGACTCTGTCTCAGTATACATACAGACCTGTCTCAGTATACATACAGACCTGTCTCAGTATACATACAGACCTGTGTCAGTATACATACAGACCTGTCTCAGTATACATACAGACCTGTCTCAGTATACATACAGACCTGTCTCAGTATACATACAGACCTGTCTCAGTATACATACAGACCTGTCTCAGTATACATACAGACCTGTCTCAGTATACATACAGACCTGTCTCAGTATACATACAGACCTCTGTCTCAGTATACATACAGACCTCTGTCTCAGTATACATACACACCTCTGTCTCAGTATACATACAGACCTCTGTCTCAGTATACATACAGACCTCTGTCTCAGTATACATACAGACCTCTGTCTCAGTATACATACAGACCTCTGTCTCAGTATACATACAGACCTCTGTCTCAGTATACATACAGACCTCTTGCTGGACTTACCTGAACAGTCTTTCTCTGTAGCTGATAGTCGGCTGGGCGTCGACGCCGTAATAACCGGACGTTGCCAGACGAAGGCTGCGGCGCAGCTCTGTTCAAAAGACACAAAAATATAAATTGTTAGTCATGTATATAATGTGTGTATACATGTTCATATGTATATTTAATTCACTTTTCCTGACATGAAATGAAGCCAAGCTGCCCTTACAAATCAGTAAATCTTCTCTATACTTTATTGTGTTTATATTTCCGGCACCAGACGGTTTTACGTTCAGTTCAGGTTTGGTAAGGTCTATTTAAAGAGTACTTTAGTCAGAAAGATCCTCCCTTTTTACGGTTTGGTCTGAAAAAGTTAATCTAAAGATGTGAAAACTAGAAGAGGTGTGGACTCAACTTTTGACTCCAACAAATCTACAAAGACTTGGACTTGACCTGGACTTTAACATCAGTGTCTCTTGACTTGGACTTGGACCATTTTGACTCACACAGACCTGCTCCTTAGTAGTCTTTTGAAAACGGATTTAATGCATTTCAAACTCTTCTAAAACAACTATTATCTATTATTTTCGGTCCCCAGACTCGGTCCCCAGACTCGGTCCCCAGACTCGGTCCCCAGACTCGGTCCCCAGACTCGGTCCCCAGACTCGGTCCCCAGACTCGGCCCCCAGACTCGGTCCCCAGACTCGGTCCCCAGACTCGGTCCCCAGACTCGGTCCCCAGACTCGGTCCCCAGACTCGGTCCCCAGACTCGGTCCCCAGACTCGGTCCCCAGGCCTTATTGTGCCAAGGTCTGGTCCAATAAACATCCACTATGTCATGGTCTGTATTTCATGATAGATCTATGAAAACAACATGTGTGAAGTTGAACACTGGACTCACCAATAGTTGAACTGTTTCTGAACACAAAATTCTCCATCTTTGTTGCTTTCTTCTCAAACCAAAAACACGTCTGCTCTGGTCGGTGTCCTGTTTGAAGTGAGGGCTTATGCCTTTCCATCAGCAGCTGGGGAACTTGGTGGTCACCGTGGAGATAGAATTACATTATGGGTTCTTTTAGGGTTCTAGAATGACGATGTCGTGTTCTCAGCTGTCTCCATGGAGATAGACCAAACTGAATAATGACAAATACATTACAGTTATTTTATAAATGTGTTTATTTAATTCCACTTTCTTTGAGGCTGTTGAGTGATATAAAACTGCAGTTTCGAGCTAAGGCTAAAGTTGACGCCAACTGTAAACACAAGAAAAAGCATGGTGGTCGGAACATAATAAAGACCGAAAATGCAGATTAATTAAATGTTAAACTATATTTAATTGTTACTTTAGTGAATACCACTTTTGGCTGAAATATAAGTTACATGTGTGTCTGGTTAAGCTGTAATCGTTTTAAGTTTGTATGTAGCTCACTCCCACTTGGTTAGATTGTTCTGGGGCTGGTGCGATGTTTATGGAGGTTAAGTAGAATTACAACCTGTGTTTAATAAAGCCATATTCGGACGGGATTAGTATTACCTGTGGACCCCTGGTAATTTGTGATTATCGCGGAGTCCTTCTGAGATCTAGCAGTGCATTCACACAGGATCAGCAATGTCTGTGATTTTCACTGACATCTCACATAACGACCGAACATGCGCGGGTCTCTCCGGTTCACGCTAGTGCCTTGCACAGGCCTATTATCTGGGCCTGAGCCCGACAGGTTTTCAGAATTCTCAGGCCCGAACCCGTATCATACCCGACTTTTTTTTTAAAAGTAAGTAAGGAAGTAATCTTTATTTATATACCGCCTTTCACAGACCAGAGTAAAAACAGTTTACAATTGTGAGCATTAGTCTCTCACTCCACACAGAGATGCGGCCAGTACAGGAGGCACAGACTTATTGTACATGTTTTTAGTGGTAGGGGGAAACCTATGCAGACATGGGGAGAACATGCAAACTCCACTCAGAAAGGCCCTGTTCCGACCAGGATTCGAATCCAGGACTGTTCAGTAGAGACGCACGGACTGTTCAGTAGAGACGCACGGACTGTTCAGTAGAGACGCACAGACTGCAATCCAGCGCTAGCATTAGCTATAGCCAGGCTGTATCCTCACGGACCATAGACTGTATACATTAACGGACAAGTTACGATTTCCTACCATATACTTATGTACTTTTACTACGCACATTATATTTGTCAGTAAATCCGTATAACCTTGGTAAATTTATGAACAATGATGGAGAGATTTGGTAAATATAAAGGTTTTATTTTTGGTCAAAATAAATGTTTAGGCAGACCAGTTATGCATCGGATAGCCCTGCTCCTCTGCAACCACTGCTACACAGCTGCTGTTGCTACAGGTATGTCTGTGGTTTTGTGGGTTGTACAGAGCACAGCAGGTCAGCACCACTGACTTCACATGTTCAGTGTCCGAGTCATTCCTTTAAAGCATTTTCAACAACCACTCGCGCTGTGCTGAATTTTCTATTAAATACAGTACTTGCTGTTAGTCTGTCACTCGGTGTCCTGAAAAGGTTGTAGGAGCCAGTTCTGCAGGAGTTAAGCAGAGTCCCCTCGCAGGTAATTCCCCTGCCATCACCAATATAAAAATATCTCCATGTACGCACCAATGTTACTAGTTGCGCGTAAATGACGTGGTCTGGCAACGCTGAGGATATACAAGCAGGCACTATTTTTGATGGAAAAGCACGCGAACTGAACCGTGCCGTAACGTGTAGTGTCGTTCCTTATCGTACTGGCACTGTGGAAAAGCGGCATAAGTATGTTATTGTGTTTTGCAGTTCTCTCCGTCTCTGCGGCCGTTCCTTCAGACGGTGGTCATCAGTATGGTGTCGTTCGGTGAGACTCACGGCAAACAACAATCAGGAATCGGTAAGACTCAGGTCCCCACATGGTTATTTCTTCAAAAACAGGGATTGGTAAGACTCAGGTCCCCACATGGTTCTTTCTTCAAAAACAGGGATTGGTAAGACTCAGGTCCCCACATGGTTCTTTCTTCAAAAACAGGGATTGGTAAGACTCAGGTCCCCACATGGTTCTTTCTTCAAAAACAGGGATTGGTAAGACTCAGGTCCCCACATGGTTCTTTCTTCAAAAACATCTAAATGTCACAAACTCAAAGATTTGTTTATTAAAACTAGCATTTCCTTCAAATCAGTTTTGCTAGTTTCCCCAAATGCTGCTCTTTTCACTTGGTTATAAATGTTATGTTTACACTTAAAGTAGAATTAAAATACTTAGTTTTATTACTATTCAACAGTGTATTCTGTCTCAATCACAAGTTTGTTATTTGTTTTTTTCATGAAATTACATCAAAGTAAATTTTCTAATGATTATGTATAATGCACTATTTATATAATTCATGATATTATTATCATGAATGCTGTGGGTGCGGTGCTATGAGACTTGGGTGGCATCTCTGACTGTCACCCCCCTGACCCAGAAATGGATTAAAGGGTAGAAAATGGATGGATGGATGGATGATATTATTATCAACACAAATGTATAGTATTGTGTACAAATGTTCTTGACTAAATAAACTGTAGGTTTAAGGTGGAAGCTCATCCTCTTTGATTTGGGAAATACTAATCTGTTTTTCTTTCTCTCCAGGAAAAGCCGCCTTATCACTTCTAACTTCAGGGAAATACGTGATGGATCCGGAGCTGAGGGGAGCAGAGTTTGAGCGGATCACTCAAAACTTGGATTTGCAGTTTTGGAAATCCTTCTGGAACCTGACGGAAACTGGGCTAATCACAGTAGGCACGGCCAAATTACAACACATCTCAATTGTACTTTCAGAAGTGGGACAAGTGGCACGTGCCAGCATTGTTTGTGTATCCCAATTATTCTGTGTGTAGTAATCCATTGAACCAAAACTAGTTACGAACAAAAACAGACTTAGAACATCATACAATTGAGTAAAGCAATATTATTGTTGAACATCAGTTACAAATGTGTAATAGTAATATTTATCCGTAGTTCCTGAACTCGTTGTGTGCCATTGACGCACAAACACGTCAAATTAACGCATTAATACATCATTTGCGTTTTCTGCTATTTTCATGCTCCCAGATGTCTATTGTATCTAATATGTCTGGGAATTAGGTTTAGACCATATTTTATGGAGCCAGCAGGTGGCAGCAGCGCTGCGTCTGGATGTTTGAAAACAAGATGCACTTTTGGGGCCTCTCTTTTCTCCGATTTTTCGTCTGAGACGGCAACAGTTCACTTACATTTTGAATGAATGTATTGAGACAATAAGTCTTGTCTGACAACAAGACAAAAAGATGCTTGTTCCATTGACAAATCAAGAAAAACAGCATTTTCCTCTCTCTTTATTCCCTTTTTGCTTCCAGATAACTTACATTATGAATTGCTACCGCCAATGTTCAGATTTTAGTTGTGCAGCCCTAACCCTTACCCATCCATGAGCTGCTCCCTAATCATGTCTTAAACAGACTGGTAAAGGATCACAGTAGCAGTTTTTTTTAATTTTTTTTTTTATTTTTTTTTATTTATTTGACAGGGACAGTACAAAAAAACATTGTCACCCACAGGTAACCGATGTGAAGTAGACAAGGCTTCTAGCCAAAGGCTAATTTGCAGCCCCCGTCCCTGGTTAGGCTTTTGGAGAAAGCGAAGAAACAAGTTTTTAAAAAAAGGGGAGAAAAGAACAACCACACATCAATAAAAATAACTGACCCCATTTGTCCATACTACATTCAGGTTTAGTGCTCACACTTCTGATTTTCCTTAAGCCACTTTTTCAGTTTAGTGGAGAAAAGTCTAGTGTCCGACTGTGACTTCAGCTCCAGCGGCAAAGAGTTCCACAGATGTGAGGCCTTCACTGAGAATGCAGACTGACCCAGAGTCGTCCGGCACCTTCTCACTCTGCAGCTCCCACTGACTGCAGCTCCCACTGACTGCAGCTCCCACTGACTGCAGCTCCCACTGACTGCAGCTCCCACTGACTGCAGCTCCCACTGACTGCAGCTCCCACTGACTGCAGCTCCCACTGACTGCAGCTCCCACTGACTGCAGCTCCCACTGACTGCAGCTCCCACTGACTGCAGCTCGAGTCTGCACACCCTCACTGCTGCACCTTTGGATGTTTTTACACATTACTTCAGGGGCTAATCCATTAAGACACTTAAACAAAGCTTTTAAAAAGGTAAAATGTATAAAATTATCAAAACTCATCATGTTGTATTTTTCAGTAATTTGGCAGTGATGATGCTTCATTGGCTTTCGATCATATATTTTGAGTGTTTGTTTATATAATGATAACAAAGGCTTCACTACAGACTTTGTGGCCTGACCCCAGACAATGGCACAATAAGACATGTGGGATAATATCATAGCATGTAAACTCCTGCAGCTTGAACTGATAAGCAGGGTCTAATCAACCTGAAACTATTTATATTTCTTTTTATGGTCTTAGTCATTTTTTTAACATGCCGATCAAAACTTAACTTAGGGTCCAAAATAACACCCAGGTATTTAAACTCCTTGACTTGTTTTATTTTATGTTGATTAACGCTGACCTCAATTTCATTGAGTGATTGTTTCTTCAGAGAAAAACACATTGAGACAGTTTTATCATAGTTCAGAGTTAAACAGTTATTTTCAACCCATGTTGATACTAGGGATGTAAAAAACTATGAATTTTCATGACCGACCACCGAGCCTCATTAACCGGTTGAAACCGGTTAACAGCGTAGTTTAAAATAGTCCACGTTCTTTGAAATAACAGCCATTTCGAGCCACGTACTTTTCATAAGTGCAGCTCTGCGTTCTACTGGATCAGAGTTGAGACAGCGGCGCCCAAACCCGCAACAGCTCCGGCACCTTTGCGCACAGAGAACTGCTTTTTTAATCTTCCCATTCTGCTGTGCTGCAGGTTAATACCAAAACTTTCTAGCAGCAAACGACGGCTCGTTCACATGGTCAGAGCAGCGAGTGACGAGCCGCGTCTCACAGGTCTTCACAAAAGTTTAAATACAAGTGATGTGTGTGGAGCTGATCCCGAGGACCATAAACACAAACATGTTCCATGTGGTTTGACTGGAGCCGCGTATTTGCGCAAATCCTTTGGGCTCCGTGACACAGAGGAGCGCGACAGACCGGTATGTGTGTGTGTATGTGTGTGTGTATGTGTGTGTATGTATGTGTGTGTGTATGTATATGTGTGTGTGTGTGTAAATGTAAGCTCCAATGTAGTTCTGACCCGCACCAGTGTGCAACTTTGACGGTAACAGAGGGGAGAGATGATGCGTGTGGATGTTACGTATGGAGAGGGGGAAAGTGTGTGTGTGTGTGTGTGTGTGCATATGTGGCTTGTGCGGCGTGAGAGTCGTCCCAGAGTTTATAATACATGGGCGCACACAGCTAGATACAGACCCGCTCGTCACACCGTGCAAATAGGGCTTAAAATAGCGTTATTAAGAGACCTCCCCTCTCCCCTTTTTCTCTTTTTTAACCGACAGCTTTGACCGGTTAACGCTGTGACGGTCAACCACCGGTTAACCGGTCACCGATTTACATCCCTAGTTGATACTTCACTTAACTGTCTGTTTAATGTTTCTGAGGCCTGTTGAGAGGTGTCTGCCGCCATATAGATTATTGTGTCATCCGCATACATTTGACAAGTTGTCTCTTTACAAATGTTGGGCAGGTCATTAATATATAAGCTGAAAAGCAGCGGACCTAAAATGGATCCTTGTGGCACCCCCAGATCACAGCTTTGTATATCAGATTTTGTACCATTTATTTTAACACATTGTTGTCTCAATTCAAGATATGATGTAAACCAATTTATGGTTTGTTTTGAAATATTAAATTGTTTTAATTTTGACAGCAGGACTAGATGATTTACTGTATCAAAGGCTTTTCTGAAATCTAAAAATACTGCTCCAACACATTTCCCCTGGTCCAAACTACATTTTATCATTTCGGTTAGATGACACACAGCCATTTCAGTGGAATGTTTGGGCCGCAGTGCAGTCCTTTCACAGTAATGTAGTTTGATTCTAGCATGAGACTTCCTGCTGAGCCGGTGTGTGTCTTCAGGGCTTCAGCCGGATCGCTTCAAACCCAGTGCAGGTGAATCTGACGCTGTCTCTCCCTCCGGAGCCGCTGCAGCTGCCTCTGGCCTCAGACCCCAGCCTCTCCACAAACGTGTCCCCTCCCGTCGCACACTGGGGTCCTGGGCCTGTGCTCGCGCGCCTCATATCCTCCGAGATTCGAGAAGGGCAGGTAAAGAGACACGCTTTCACCTGATACAGGACTGTGACATTGCTACAGCTGGGTCTCAACAGAAAGAGTCAAAGTAAATGTTTGTGAACACATCAAACCACTTCATGCTTATCTCATTTGAAAACATATCTTTTGTATTCTTGTAAGAAAGAGCCCTGTGAGTCACTATTTGACCCTTTGGGCTGTGCGAGGATTGGCTGAGTCAGTGTGGTTCTCTCTGTTTTACTTTTCTGTTCGATAAATCTGATCTAAAAATGTGACCGAGATAAAAAATACATGTGAGAACTAGTGGAAGAACCAAACCGTTTTGAGAGCGTCTTTGTAATGTAGATGAATCTTCCAATCAGGACTAGGGATGTAAAAAACTATGAATTTTCATGACCGACCACCGAGCCTCATTAACCGGTTGAAACCGGTTAACCGCGTAGATTAAAATATTCCATGTTCTTTGAAATAACAGCCATTTCGATCGGATCAGAGCTGAGACAGCGGAGCGATACCCGCCTCAGCTTCGGCTGCTCACAGAGAACTGCTGTTTTAATCTTCCCATTCTTCTGAGCTGCGGGTTAAAGCTGTTTAGCAGCAAACGACGGCCCGTCCACATGGTCAGAGCAGCGAGTGACGGCCCGTCCACATGGTCAGAGCAGCGAGTGACGGCCCGTCCACATGGTCAGAGCAGCGAGTGACGGCCCGTCCACATGGTCAGAGCAGCGAGTGACGGCCCGTCCACATGGTCAGAGCAGCAAACGACGGCCCGTCCACATGGTCAGAGCAGCAAACGACGGCCCGTCCACATGGTCAGAGCAGCAAACGACGGCCCGTCCACATGGTCAGAGCAGCAAACGACGGCCCGTCCACATGGTCAGAGCAGCGAGTGACGCGTCTCACAGGTCTCCTCTAAAGTTTAAGTACAAGTGATGTGTGTGGAGCTGATCTAATGACAAGAACCAGCAGCACAAACATGTTCCATGTGGTTTGACTGAAGCCGCGTATTTGCGAGAAGGTTTATTCCCAGGTTTATTGTTCTGTATCTGATTACCTATCTCTAATCAGGACTTAGAGCTCTCTCCTGCTAGTCCACCTCAGAGAGCGAGAATCACACTAAAGACCTGTTAAACTACATGTGGACCCAGTCTCTGCCCCTTCACCTCTGGCCCGGACAGTCCCAGAAGCTGCTCCCTGTATCTGGGACGTCACCCACACAGTGTCCGGGACGTCACCCACACAGCGTCCGGGACGTCACCCACACAGCGTCCGGGACGTCACCCACACAGCGTCCGGGACGTCACCCACACAGTCCGTCGCAATCTTTCAAACATAAGGGTTAAACTCACTGGTCTGTTGTAAAGACACCATATTACGAATGGAGAAAGGAGTATATCTTAATAATCCAGGAGACATTCTTTAGCTGGAAGCGAACACCTGGTTAAACATAAGAATAATTCTAAGATTTAAATCAAAGTATTGTAATATGCTTTTATATGATGAATACATGATCTTCATAAAGCTCATGGTGTTTATGAGTCTGTTGTGTGTTTGAGTCTGTTGTGTGTTTATGAGTCTGTTGTGTGTTTGAGTCTGTTGTGTATTTATGAGTCTGTTGTGTGTTTATGAGTCTGTTGTGTGTTTACGAGTCTGTTGTGTGTTTATGAGTCTGTTGTGTGTTTGAGTCTGTTGTGTGTTTATGAGTCTGTTGTGTGTTTACGAGTCTGTTGTGTGTTTACGAGTCTGTTGTGTGTTTACGAGTCTGTTGTGTGTTTACGAGTCTGTTGTGTGTTTACGAGTCTGTTGTGTGTTTACGAGTCTGTTGTGTGTTTACGAGTCTGTTGTGTGTTTACGAGTCTGTTGTGTGTTTACGAGTCTGTTGTGTGTTTCCAGGACAGTGAGGAGCTGCTCTCTTACTCTCGGGCCGACACTGGTCCCGTTGCCATGACGACGCTGCCCTGGGTCCAGAAGCAGCCGCACTCGCCCTGGCTCCTCGTCCACTTCCACGGAGGAGGCTTTGTGGCCCAGACGTCCAAATCTCATGAAGTTAGTGAACACGCCATCGAGGACTAGCATGACCAAGTGAACACGCCATCCAGGACTAGCATGACCAAGTGAACACGCCCTCCAGGACTAGCATAACCAAGTGAACACGCCCTCCAGGACTAGCATGACCAAGTGAACACGCCATCCAGGACTAGCATGACCAAGTGAACACGCCATCCAGGACTAGCATGACCAAGTGAACACGCCACCCAGGACTAGCATGACCAAGTGAACACGCCATCCAGGACTAGCATGACCAAGTGAACACGCCATCCAGGACTAGCATGACCAAGTGAACACGCCATCCAGGACTAGCATGACCAAGTGAACACGCCCTCCAGGACTAGCATGACCAAGTGAACACGCCCTCCAGGACTAGCATGACCAGGATATAACCCAACATGGATCCTTCATACGCTCCACATATACAGCTTGCTCTGACATGTTTCAGTGTCCCTTCAACCTTTCAACCTTTTTGAGCTGGGCCACACCTTTTCCATTGAAAACAAACAAAGCAGCTAAAACTTAAACATTTTTGATCAACTCTGAAAGTCATTCTCATCAAAGTGTATTATATAGAAATCAAACAAGCACAAAAAAGTGTATTTTGTCCAATTATGTGAGATTGGAGCAGTTCCAACACATACAAGTCTGAGAAACCCCCAAGGTTTTAAAACATATATTATGGTTTGTCGGTGATTGGATGATATTTTCTGTGGATCTGATTTGTGTCTTTACTGATTACTCTTAAAGCTCGTTTAGGTCTGGCACCCGGCTATATTTATGAACTTTGAACCCCCTCCGAGCCCTTAGATCCTGGGGCAGGTCCCTGTGACAAAAGGTGGCCGAGCCTTCTCGGTCCGGGGTCCTCTGCTTTGGAACCACCCGAGGAGATAAGGCTCCATCAGTCTCCTCTTTTAAACCCACTTTTATCAAACAGCTTTTAAAGACCTTATGACGGGTTTTTTTTTTAAAAATAGTGGATATCAAAATTGCATGACAATGTCAATTTGAAAGAGATTCCGGCAAAAAAAATCCTATATTTTATAAAAAGAACGTGTTTTTCATGAATTTAAGTTGTCTATGCTCTAACCTGTGTGTGACGTCACAGCGGGTAACGCCCATGCATTGAAAACCATGGATCTATGCCACAGGACTGCCTTTTCTCTCTTCTCTCCACTGATGCCCAACACAATACTGCCCTCTACAGGTGACAATTGCTCACTACACATAAATTGCCGTTTTGAGAGTGAAAAAGTGTCCGAGGTGGGATTTGAACCCAAGTATCTGGATTGACAGTCCATCGACACAACCACTGGACTATCTCAGTGACAACGAAGAGTTATAATCTAGTATTTATGTGAGACTCGCTGTACACGGCCTTGTTATCTTGAATATCCGCGAAAAAAGAACCAATACCAAATTGTAAACAACTTACAGCGTTGAAACGTACCCACTCTGACGTCACCAAGGGCTGTGAAGTTTTTCGTTTCTAAGGGCGTTGCTATGGGGTTATTTCGATTTGGGGAGATCAGACAAAAAAAACAACTGATTTTGAAACGTTTAGTAGTTCTCTTCTAATATAAAATGGTATTAAAACTGTATTTCTAAATAAATCAAACCCGTCATAAGGTCTTTAACTGTTAGATTTTAACTTCACATGTTGTTTTTTACTGTTGTGTCTTTCTTCTTGTTTCCTCCGTCTGCTTTGTCCTGTTTCTATTCTGATTATTTTGACTTTGTATACTGACTGTGCAGCGCTTTGTAAACGTTGTTTTTGAAAAGTGCTCTACAAATAAAGATGTATTATTATTATTATTTGATTTGCAGAACTACCTGAGGGCCTGGTCGAAGGTTCTGGGCGTCCCGGTCCTGTCCGTGGACTACTCTCTGTCTCCTGAGGCTCCGTTCCCCAGAGCTTTGGAAGAGTGTTTCTACGCTTACTGTTGGGCTCTGAAGAACTCCCACCTCCTCGGTCTGCACTGACACTCTTATTATGTGTTGGGAGTATCTGAAAGCTGATTGGCTGAATAAGCAGGAAGTTGATCTAAAGATGAGGGTAAAAAAACTGAATTCATGTGAGATCTAGAGATGGAACCAAACTGTTTAAGAGCCAGGAAGTCGGGATTTTATTACATAGTACCATCGGTGTGGTTTCAAAGTTACATACCCCAGCTTTAATCTCCAACTGAGAGCTGTAAAGTTTGGATTATACATGTTTTATTCAATGTAGCTAAACGGCTAATATTGCGTTGGATGATGCACATCTTGAATACTTGGTGCTTATACCTTGTCCACACATTGTATTTGTTAAAACTCCACTGTGCGATCGTATATAATAATCTACGGTACTACGGTGGCTTCACAGGACAAAAAGCAGTTGTTGACAGTGGTCCCCAACTCCTGCTCAAACTCCTTTTTGTCCCTTATCCAGCACTGTATTTAAAGATGGAGGATTCACACAGAGAGTCCTCCGCCTCATGGACATTTATAAGTCATATTCTGAGTTTATGATATTCTGAAATATTCTGATGTTGGTGTTTTTTCATTGCTCCACACTGCAAAAAATGATCAAATATGAGATGATAATTGCTAGAATCGAGTTTTTTTAACTTGACTTATGTTCATTCTGACTGTCTTAAAACGAGATTTGCCAACGAGACAAGCAATTTTGACTTGATTCAAGAACTATTGCTTTATTTTCTCATTCCAAGAGAAAAATATCTTGTATCTTTTTAAAACAAGACAATTTTTCTTGTTCCACTGGCAAATCTTGTTTTAAGGCAGTCAAAATGTGCTCAAATTTAGATACATTTAGCCAAATTTTAGCATTTTTTGTCTTTAATTCTGTCATCTTTTGCAGTGAGATGAAACTAGATCCTGCTCTAGTTTAAACATGGATCATTATGACGTGTTTGTGGTCCAGGATCCACTGCAGAGCGCGTGTGTTTGGCCGGAGACAGCGCCGGAGGAAACCTGTGCATCACCGTGAGCATGAAGGCCATGTCCTGCGGGGTTCGAGTCCCAGACGGCATCATGGCCGCATACCCCGCCACCCTGCTCACCACGGACGCCTCGCCCTCCCGCCTGCTCACTGCCATCGACCCTCTGCTGCCACTAGGGGTCCTCGCCAAGTGCCTCAACGCTTACACAGGTACAGCCTCCAGCTCATAAATATGCCAAAAACATAATATAATATAATGTAATTGATGCTAAAACTAGTGTCAAAACCAGACACTCGTTTGAACAAGTTTAGACACTGAATAAATGACACAAACAGGACGATATTTGACATTTCTTGATTCATTTTGATGCATTTTAAAGTTAATGTCAGTTACTTTTCAAACAGTGAAGAGAGAATGAAAGAGGAGTGACTGGTTTTAGTCGTCGGCCATGTTTAAAGCCTCCATATGTAAGATTTTCATGTCCAGTCATCATTAAAGGGCCCTAATCTGTCCTCATTAAAGGGCCCTTATCCGTCATAATTAAAGGGCCCTAATCTGTCATCATTAAAGGGCCCTAATCTGTCATTAAAGGGCCCTAATCTGTCCTCATTAAAGGGACCTAATCTGTCCTCATTAAAGGGCCCTAATCCGTCATAATTAAAGGGCCCTAATCTGTCATCATTAAAGGGCCCTAATCTTTCCTCATTAAAGGGCCCTAATCTGTCCTCATTAAAGGTCCCTAATCTGTCCTCATTAAAGGGCCCTAATCTGTCCTCATTAAAGGGCCCTAATCTGTCCTCATTAAAGGGCCCTAATCTGTCATCATTAAAGGGCCCTAATCTGTCCTCATTAAAGGGCCCTAATCTGTCCTCATTAAAGGGCCCTAATCGGTCATCATTAAAGGGCCCTAATCTGTCCTCATTAAAGGGCCCTAATCTGTCCTCATTAAAGGGCCCTAATCTGTCATAATTAAAGGGCCCTAATCTGTCCTCATTAAAGGGCCCTAATCTGTCATCATTAAAGGGCCGTAATCTGTCATAATAATAAACTGCTCTTTTCCAATACTCTGACAGCATTTCACATGAAGAAAACTTTCTTTATGTGAAATATTGTTTGTGGATTTGAACCACTTTGTACGTCTGAGTAACATTATTATGAAACTACTCTTCTTCTCTGGGAGTGTACGGCTCATTTACTCTGAATAACAGTGGCTGAGTGGTTAGCACTCTCGCTCCTCAGCAAGAAGGTCCTGGGTTCGAATACTGGTTGTAACAGGGCCTTTCTGAGTGGAGTTTGCATGTTCTCCCTATGTCTGCGTAGGTTTCCTCTGGGTGCTGCGGTTCCCCTACCACTAAAAACATGTACAATAGTTTGGGGTGAATGAGTGTGAGTTTGTGAGTGCGAATGTGGGACAACGAATTCTAATTAGCCCAAGGTACTGGAGTGATGTGTTCATGAACATGTACAGTACATGTTGGTGGTCGTGGGTTTCACACCCACTGCGACCTTCTCTACCGACTCCCACTGATGTCTACCATTGTGTCCTTGAGCAAGGCACTTAACCCAATTTGCCTATAAGGAGCGCAGCAGTAATGTGTGTTTGTGTATTCATCAATCTGAATGTCTCCACTGAGAGACTAATAATGGACCTTATGATAACTTGCACATTCACTGTTTGCACTGTCCCTGTCTTTTGGACCCTGAGTGGTTCCACTTATGCCAAACTTTACACTGGTCCATTATGAGACCCATGAAGTCTATTTTATCTGATTTACTAAGATGAATACTAAGATATATCCTAAAGATCCTACAGAGACCATAAATACATGTGTGTGAAAACTAGTGACAGAACCAAACTGCCTAAAGAGCGAGGAACCTCCATGTTTAGTTGTTTAAAAATGAAAATGTAAATAATAAACCATGTTTTTGTATCAAAATAACCAAATATTTTCCCTTTAACCGTCTCTCAGGGATGGGCTCGGAGTTGGTGCAGCCCGCAGTGCACCGCGGCAGCCTGAGCGCTCTTGGACGGGACACGGCTCTGCTCCTCGGTGACCTCACCCAGACCGCCTCCAACTGGATCCAGTCCTTTCTGGACCCGGCACGGAACATGGACAGACGGCCTAACAACCTCCACTCCTCCGCTTCAGCCCCGTCCCTGAGCCGCTCTGGCCACAGCAGCACCGTGGATTACCCAGAAGGCTTTGAACCTCTTCGGTCCCAGTGCCTCGCCGTCGTTCACCCGACTTCTTTCCCAATCCTCAAAAATCCTTTTGTGTCGCCGCTGTTGGCTCCGGAGCAGCTGCTGAGAGGCCTCCCGCCCGTTCATATCGTGGTAACGTTCTCACTGCTCTGAAGAAGCATTTTACTTTAATTAGGCAGAGAGTTTAATAAATGTAGATAAATGTTGATTCATGTCCAGACCCTCCTGCATCCGAGGAACAACTCAAAAACAAACCATTGTATTTGTATGTAGCATGTACAATACTTTTGGGATTCTAAACTTGGACAGTGAGCGTCTGGAGTAAATTAGTAACTTTTTTGACATTGATAGATTTAACAGCTTCATAATCACATTATATAATCCACATTCAACTTTTTCTTGCCCACTCCTACGTAAAAGAATTTGGTTTTCTTGAGCAAGAGGTATCCAAGTCTCTTGTTTATGTTGTTATGAAGTGAATGTGCCGTAGAAATGGTTTGATCCAGTCTTTCCAAGTGGATTTTCACCTCAGTCTTGTTCAGTGGAATTAAAATGTAGTTTTCACATGTGTACATAATTATTGATGTCTTTTTGAAGCACTTTAAACTGTTTGAATCTTTTTTATATTCATACATTCTCCCCTTCTCCCCCAGGCCTCTGCTCTGGACGCCTTGCTGGACGACTCTGTGATGTTTGCAAAGAAGCTGCGGGCCATGGGGCAGCCGGTGACCCTGACCGTGGTGGAGGACCTTCCCCACGGCTTCCTCAGCCTCTCGCAGCTCACCAAAGAGACGGAGGTGGCGGCCGGAGTCTGTATGCAAAAGATCAGGCAGGTTTTCCAAGGATCTGACCACGACACGAGTCCTTCTCCACATCCACCACAACAGCAGCAGAACACAGGCTAGAGGTGTGCGCGAAGCAAATAACACAAGTGTGGTTCAAAGCTTTTAAAAACAAAATGAGTAAATCTATATTTTGGGAACAAAGTGAGTATTTGCACTTTAAATATAAATATATATTGTCCTGGGAATTGTATATCATTCAAATATAAAGGTATTTTCTTTCTGATTTCAGAAAATCTATGTTTTTTCTTGTTGTTGTGATTGTCTGAATGGCCTTTGTTGTTTGGATTGTATTTGTTCACGTGTTTAAAACTGTAGGAAAGTACATTTTGCACAGCCTGATTCTCAAACAGCAGAAAATATCTTCAGATTTACTCACCTTTCCATAAGCGCTCCTCGTGTTTACATGTAAAGTGTATTTTCTATTTATATTCTCACCTCTTTAAAATAACCCTTTATGGTGTGGAGTAGTGGAGTTTCTGTGCCTTAAATGTTTTTGAAAGACTCACACTGATGTTTGTGGGAAACCGACCAATGTTTACCAATGTCTTAAGAATTTTACCTGTATTTATTATCTGAGTCTTTATGAGAACAAACAGTGGTGTATTTAACAAAATACATTGTTATAAAGTTCTTTAACAGTTCTTTTATGTTGTTTGTTTTTACTCAAGTACTTCATTGTGTGTGTGTGTGTGTGTGTGTGTGTAAGTGTCTGTCTGTCTGTCTGTGTGTCTGTGTAAGTGTCTGTCTAAGTGTCTGTCTGTGTGTCTGTGTAAGTGTCTGTCTAAGTGTCTGTCTGTCTGTCTGTCTAAGTGTCTGTCTGTGTAAGTGTCTGTCTGTCTGTCTGTCTGTGTAAGTGTCTGTCTGTCTGTCTGTGTAAGTGTCTGTCTGTGTAAGTGTCTGTCTGTGTAAGTGTCTGTCTGTCTGTCTGTCTGTGTAAGTGTCTGTCTGTCTGTCTGTGTAAGTGTCTGTCTGTGTAAGTGTCTGTGTAAGTGTCTGTCTGTGTAAGTGTCTGTCTGTGTAAGTGTCTGTCTGTCTGTCTGTGTAAGTGTCTGTCTGTGTAAGTGTCTGTCTGTGTAAGTGTCTGTCTGTGTAAGTGTCTGTGTAAGTGTCTGTCTGTCTGTCTGTGTAAGTGTCTGTCTGTGTAAGTGTCTGTCTGTGTAAGTGTCTGTCTGTGTAAGTGTCTGTCTGTGTAAGTGTCTGTGTAAGTGTCTGTCTGTGTAAGTGTCTGTCTGTGTAAGTGTCTGTCTGTCTGTCTGTGTAAGTGTCTGTCTGTGTAAGTGTCTGTCTGTGTAAGTGTCTGTGTAAGTGTCTGTGTAAGTGTCTGTCTGTCTGTCTGTGTAAGTGTCTGTCTGTGTAAGTGTCTGTCTGTGTAAGTGTCTGTCTGTCTGTCTGTGTAAGTGTCTGTCTGTGTAAGTGTCTGTCTGTGTAAGTGTCTGTCTGTGTAAGTGTCTGTCTGTGTAAGTGTCTGTCTGTGTAAGTGTCTGTCTGTGTAAGTGTCTGTCTGTGTAAGTGTCTGTCTGTGTAAGTGTCTGTCTGTGTAAGTGTCTGTCTGTCTCTGTCTGTGTAAGTGTCTGTCTGTCTGTCTCTGTCTGTGTAAGTGTCTGTCTGTCTGTCTCTGTCTCTGTCTGTCTGTGTAAGTGTCTGTCTGTGTAAGTGTCTGTCTCTGTCTGTGTAAGTGTCTGTCTGTCTGTCTCTGTCTGTGTAAGTGTCTGTCTGTCTGTCTCTGTCTGTCTGTGTAAGTGTCTGTCTGTGTAAGTGTCTGTCTGTCTGTCTCTGTCTGTGTAAGTGTCTGTCTGTCTGTGTAAGTGAAATAGAAAATATTGGTTTAACATTTGCAGATCCTGTCCAGTACTCTCTGGTCTAAAATGTCATAACACTAACTTTTAAATGCCAACTAGGAAAACCGTAGCGCTTATATCATGTGAATTGGTACACAGGAACATACACTATTCAAGAGAGAACAATCCTTTCCTCCTTGTGGTTTATTATGAGACAGAGTAGCTCGGGTGACTGTCCAGGTCATGCTTAAAGGTATATAGAAGGATCTTCTACTTCCGGGTGGATCATCAACTTTATTGGTCCTCCTATTGTCAATCATTCTGGTGATATGTGCTTGTCCAATGAGACCAGAGAGTTTTGTTCAAAAAATGGAGATGGTCGTTCTTTCCTTACATTTGGGAAAATCCATCCACATATATATATACATTTAAATCTATGTGTATGTAACAAAGGTCAATAAAAATGTGAAGGAAGCAGGATTAGCAGAAGCAATGTCAGATGAATTTTAAGAGGTATGGTTTGGGCCATCCATGTGTACACACGTTTGGAATAATCATTTCATAAACTTATATTAAATTAAATGCTTTATTGTGAATTTATATCAGACCAGTGGATGTACATAGCCTATCTCATAACATAGCCTCATGTAATTTTAACCAAAAGTACATATTTAACCCTAATTATGGTCAAATTTGGATACGTTTTGAATTATTCACCGACTGAAATAAACAGTGTTGTAGAGACTCGTGCGGCCGGCAGGAGGCGCACGCGAGCGTTGGCCCGAGCTGTGAAAAGGAGGCGCGTGCCCCCGAGGAAGAGGAGACGACGAAGGCGACCATGTTGATCTAAGAAGAAACACAAAGACCAGACTCTTTTCAACTAAAATACAACCGATAAAAGTGAATTGTGAAAGAAATAATTGATAACCCGCAAACTTTGCATCCTTGGTAACGGGAAACAGAAGCACAGGTACGCATTCAGCCGTTAGAACCGGAGAGCGAGTGTAAAAAACAGATGCTGTTTGCAGGTTAGCACGTTAGCTTAGCCGCGTTAGCTTAGCCGCGTTAGCTTAGCCGCGTTAGCTTAGCCGCGTTAGCATCAGAGTCATTTTCGGCTCTAGAGCGTCACCTTTTCAACAATTAATACTGAAGGCAGAGGTTTAACTCTGAGCTGGAACTTTGCTCGATGAAAAACTAACATGACAAACCTTCAGTGTGGTTTAGAAGAGACTTGTTCTTAGTTCGTGTGAAGATGGAAAAGGTTAATTAGTTTAGCTTCGTTAGCTAAGCTGTAGCGTGTTGCTCTCGGTCGAGCTAACATCTTTATCCATATTGTTTCCAGCAGATTCCTGTTTCTTTGAACACGTTTGAAGTTTGATACAGTGTTCACACGTCCCTCCCCGCGGTGCTGATTAGTTTTACTAACGTGTTTTTATGTAATATTACGAACTATTGCGTTTGTGGGCGTAGCTTTAACCCAGTTTAGTTGACAGTTTACAAATACTGTATATTACCTTTTTAAAGAGTCCAAACTTGTGGAAACGTGTTCTCCATGTGATTGTTTTAGTCACGTTTCTTTACTTCCATCGTAGTCTACTCACTGTAACCACACGTTAATACTTTTTTAACGATGGAGACTGTTGTATTGTTTTAGTTATGGTTCATTTACATTGTGCTATGTGGTCCTCATTCCTACTGTTCTGTAACTAATGATTTCCCCACTATGTGACGTATAAAGGATCTCATCTTAGTCAATAGAACTAATAATATGCCTTAGTATTTATTGGTGTTCGGTAATGCGCAACTAAAAGAACTATGTAATTAGTAAAAGTCTTGTTACACAGAACAGGTTCGACTAGAGTCATGAGCCGCCTACACTATCATAATCTACCTTGTTGTAAATCCTGTTGGTTGTTTGTGTTTAGGAGAGAAGTTGGAGCAGTGACTCCAGAAGCCTCAGGTTGATCTAGGCCACATTCAGAGCTGTGGACTTCAGGACGCACAGAGACCCGCTAAAGACTGAGGGGTATAAAGCACTTTGGCTTTGGACTTGATGCCCTCTCCTTAGATTTCAGGCTCTCATTTGCTTTTGCACTAAAGCAAGAAACTATTGGCAACACGGAAACGACTGAAGAAAAAGACTCTATGATTTTTGAAAAAATCCTGTACAAAGTTAGGCTTTTTTTTCAAGGACAGGCATAACGAGCAGCACCTACGGACTCGAAGTGGAACCAGGAAATGTGGATTTAGAAACAAATAATACATTTTGAAATAAGATTATTTTGAAAGGAAGTATTTCCCAAGTTCAGATTGCCTTAGTTCTATTTCAGGACTTGAACCGCTTTGATACTTGTTCACATATAATTTTCTATATTGTGGGCAAGTAAATTGATGCAGATTTCTCTTCATTTTGAAGAGCTCTTGTGTATAGTGTTTTGTAATACGTCAGTCACTCTTGAAGGGACCGAGCTGAACGTACATGTGTATATGTAATTACAAATGGACTTTTGTTCAAAACCTTTGGACTCAAATGAATAGAGAATATTGTTTGTTAATGCTTTATTAAGAATTTTTTTACTTTTTGGAGAGATTTTTAAAGAAAATCCTAAGAGGCAAAAACCTAAAACTTTAAAAGAAAACTGAAGAACAGAAAATGGCCACCGCCAGAACAGAAAGTGTTGGACCCATAGTGATGGGACTGAACAAACAGAATGGACAGCTTAAAGGACAGCTTAAGCCTTTGGTCCAATCCACTCCAACTCCAGGAAAGACTTTAGCCGCTCCACAGAAGAGCTCCTGCCCAGAGAAGACCGAAGGCATAAAGTTTGGAGACGACTGGAAGAAAAACCTGCAACTTCCACCCAAAGACTGCCGCGTCAGAACATCAGTGAGTCTGCGCTAAAACACTGCTTCTGTTATTAATGTAGCTAACACTAACCGCTCCGTCTCCTGCAGGATGTCACGTCCACGAAGGGGAATGAATTTGAAGATTACTGTCTCAAACGTGAACTCCTGATGGGTATTTTCGAGATGGGCTGGGAGAAACCATCTCCTATTCAGGTTTATAGCTTTGGTTTTGGTTTATGTTCCGCTTTTATAAGGGAAACAGACACATTATCAGACTGTGCTTTTAGGAGGAGAGCATTCCCATTGCCTTGTCGGGGCGAGACATTTTGGCTCGAGCAAAGAACGGAACAGGAAAAAGTGGAGCGTATCTCATCCCGATGCTGGAGCGGATAGACCTCAAAAAGGACTTCATTCAGTGTGAGTTGCTTTGGAAATGTCTAATCGGGAAACACTTTCCTGAACCACCTCACGTTCTAATGGTTCTCTGGTGTGTTTAGCACTTGTGATGGTGCCAACTCGTGAGCTGGCGCTGCAGGTGAGTCAGATCTGTATCCAGATCAGTAAACATTTGGGCGGAGTCAAAGTCATGGCCACAACTGGAGGAACCAACCTCAGAGACGACATCATGCGACTGGACGAGACCGGTGAGTGCTTCTGGTGTCTCCTGAACACTCGATGCCATAATCTTTACTAACTCCAGCTTTTCTCTGCCTCAGTGCACGTGGTCATCGCCACGCCCGGGAGAATCCTGGATTTGATAAAAAAGGGAGTTGCAAAAGTGGATCGGGTCCAGATGATGGTCATGGATGAGGTAAAGAGTTGGTACAAACCTCATAGATCCTGAGGCTTTTTATCAAATGTATAGTTAAATGTGAAACTTTACACAAGCAGCTTGGATGTTATATTTTTAAAACGCGGGGGTTGTGCTGGGGGTTTGTAATCGTTCTAAAATATTTACTCTTAATCCTAACTTAAAGATCATCCACTGATTGCTTTGGTTCAACACTGAGTTTCACAGAATGATTGAACTCTTCCGAGAGGATTCAATCGATATTGTTTGCGTTCAAAGTTGAATGTATTTGCTTTAGTCCTGTGATTTTTAAACAAAAGCTTCCAGTCTGGAAGTCTTTAGTCTTACATTAATCTGTTTTCTCCCTTTAGGCCGATAAGCTCCTGTCTCAGGACTTCGTGGTCCTCATCGAGGACATCATCAGCTTTCTGCCCAAGAGACGACAGATCCTGCTCTACTCCGCCACCTTCCCCATCAGTGTGCAGCGCTTCATGGTGAGAGTCCACAGGAAGCATCTAAACCAGAGAGAGAACCATAGTCACAGCTTTAGTCACAGCTTTAGTCACGTGGCTGAAGGAAAGTTGAAGGTTGATAACGTTGGCTCAGTTTGTAAGTGGTAAAGAGTGGACTGCAGACCGGAGACCACAGTCTGGGCTCGGAGCCAGCTGAGGTTTGTCGAGGCTGTGGTTCGTGACAGATTGTGTAATGGTTTCAATAATAAGAAACAAGCTTCTGTGATAATCAATAAATTTGTCTAAAATATTTAACTTTGAAAAATAAAAACTAATATTTTATCATAATAATTTACCTTTTTTTGGCAACAATGTTACGGGATCCTTTATCCTACGTTCCATCTAAGTTTCATTATTGGGCCACTTTCCTTTTCAACAATCAAGTGGGACATGGTGCTTTAGGCCCTGTCCCAATTCTCACCCTTGCCCTTAGGTGTGAGTGCCCTCACCAGTAAAGTGCCTTCCCAGTGGGGAGTGCACTCACAACATTCTCCCTAAGAATTGGGACACCCCTGGATCTAGGGGACAATATGCAAAAGACGCAGCAGACGTGTTCCACGTCACACACATGATCAAAGTGTGTGATTTCACCACAGATGAGATCTGACACAGATATGACTTTATGAAACAGTGTTTACTAAAATGAGACGTTTTTAATTCTATTTCATATGAAATTTTGCTTCAATTAGGTACAGAACTGATGCACATCACGCACAGAGACAGACGTACACACACAGAGCCAGACGCACACATGTACACACACAGAGCCAGACGCACACATGTACACACACACGCACACACTCACTTGCGCTCAAGGGTGGTTTTTAGGGGTGTGAAGGCCCTCGCCTTAAAGTATTGGGACGCTCTTCCACTCCCGCGGGCACACGCAAACTCTAGGGCAAGTGTGCTTTTTAAGGGCAAGGGTGAGAATTGGGACGGGGCCTTAGTCTTTGTCTCTGAACCAAAGTCAAAAAGCTGATATTCACATTTTATTCAATTTGACAAAAAGGTTGTTCATTTTCTTTGGACTCATCCATTTGTGAATTAGAACAGTTTTATTTTGGTGCTTTTTAATTTCAAGGCATTAAAGTTTAAATCTAATGTAATATAAAGGTTTCAGTCGTGGAAAACTCAAGTCTTGGAATGTTATTTAAATTACTTTGTCCAAAATACATAAAGGTCGTGTGTTATTGACATAAAATGTTATCATGGAATAACATTTCCCTAAACCACATCAGTGTTAATGTTTTACTCTACTGCCACAAAGTTTTCAGGCCTCCTGTGAAATTACAAAGCACCATATTTGTTTTGAGCAGGATCGATGTCATTGAAAAAAATCCCGCTCTCCTGAATTCTGGGAGATTCCAAAATAATAAATGCATCTTGACCTAATAATGGCTCAAAGATACTGTTCCTGGTGAAAGATAGACGTGTCTATTTTTAGTTCAATGTCTGTTTACACTGGTCCACTCCTCTTTGTGTCGCTGTAGCCTCTTGTGTTGCTGCAGTGTAGCCTCTTGTGTTGCTGCAGTGTAGCCTCTTGTGTTGCTGCAGTGTAGCCTCTTGTGTTGCTGCAGTGTAGCCTCTTGTGTTGCTGCAGTGTAGCCTCTTGTGTTGCTGCAGTGTAGCCTCTTGTGTTGCTGCAGTGTAGCCTCTTGTGTTGCTGCAGTGTAGCCTCTTGTGTTGCTGCAGTGTAGCCTCTTGTGTTGCTGCAGCGTAGCCTCTTGTGTTGCTGCAGCGTAGCCTCTTGTGTTGCTGCAGCGTAGCCTCTTGTGTTGCTGCAGCGTAGCCTCTTGTGTTGCTGCAGCGTAGCCTCTTGTGTTGCTGCAGCGTAGCCTCTTGTGTTGCTGCAGCGTAGCCTCTTGTGTTGCTGCAGTGTAACCTCTTGTGTTGCTGCAGGCGGCTCACCTGGAGAAACCATACGAGATAAACCTGATGGAGGAGCTGACGCTGAAGGGCATCACTCAGTACTACGCCTACGTCACGGAGCGCCAGAAAGTGCACTGTCTCAACACGCTCTTCTCCAGGGTACGCCTTTCCTCTTTTTATTTATAGACATTCTATAGATGAGAGAGAGAACTTGTTTTGGGACTGGTACATGTTTGCTTTTCTTTTGTTTTGGCCTGTCACAGCTTGAAAATCTGTCATTTTCTTCCTCTTTATTCATCCATTTCTGAGTCGGGGAGGTGGGAATCAGAGCTGCCCCCAATCCTCAAAGCAGCAGTCAGTGTTGTCTTTCAGCAGGGGCTTCAGACAAAGTGGGGTTAAGTGTCTTGCCCAGGGACACACCACAGCAGAGATGACATGTGGGGGATCGAACCCACAATCATTGGGTTCAAAGACCAAAGAGCCACTGTCGCCCCCAAATCTTAACTTTTGATTAAAAACTGACCATGCTCTCGGCCAATCAGCTTTCAGTGTGACTTTAGGCTTTGTCTTTAAGAACCACCAACGTGTGGTCATAAATGTTAGTTTTAACTGAATATAATGTTAGTAACTGCCACAACCGTAAGAATGATGCATAACTGAAGCTGGAGCCATGAATGTAACATTTACGTAACATTTTCAGTCTTATAAAAATAGTTTTGAACAGGCTTCACTTTTACTGTCGGACTTCCTGATGCACATTTGTGGTTTTACTTCCTGTTTCTGAAACTGTTAGATGAGGTCATTCAAAAACGGATAAAATGCATAACAAACAAAAAGGCAAAATATACAATTTACACTTTATATTAAAACAGAGCAGCATAACAGATTTGGGCTTTCAACTCTCATTAAAATAGTTTTAAAAGCAGAATATAGTCAGTCATAAGCTCAACTAAAGAGATGAGAATCAGTCTTGAGTTATAAATCTGAAAAGGACCTTTTGGATCAGTTGGCTGTGTATGAGTCTGGATCTATTCTGTGGTTCTGGTTCTGAACGCAGATGTTTTTATTCTAACGAAAGTTTCCGTCCTCAGCTTCAGATAAACCAGTCAATCATCTTCTGTAACTCCACTCAGAGAGTCGAGCTTTTAGCAAAGAAGATCACACAGCTCGGATACTCGTGCTTCTACATCCACGCCAAGATGATGCAGGTCAGGACTGTGTGTGCGGGTGTGTGTGTGTGTGTGTGTGCGTGCGGATGTCAGGACTGTGTGTGTAGTGTGATGGCAATATGAAGCCCCATGAAGCCTTGAGGGATCGCAGCCTATTACTCGGCCCGTGAGTCGAAGGCTCGAGGTGAATCATGCTCCACTACGCCATCATGTGGACAAAGAAATACATAACACTCTTAAATGCTTACAATGAATGGTGAGATCTAATGTTAAAATGTATATTTACAATCTATGGTCTAACGTGTTTGAAATGATGCTTCATGAACTATTTGAGTCTTTCAGTCAATTGTGTTGATACAACAAACACATCCAAAGTAATACAGTTCTACAGAAAGTGATTAATGGAGGAAAAACTACCAAGAGGTGGATTAATTAAACACGACAAACCATTTATTCCCAATAAATAAATACATTTACTTTGCAACACAAAATTTATTATGGGTAGACCAGGATTCGAACCTTTGACCTTCTACTTCAGAGTCCGTCATAGACCGACTGCGCCACACAGCTGTTGTGAAACGTATTATCCAGCGTATTATTACTGATAACTTGAAGCCTTGATATATGAGGTTTTACTGAAGTGAAACGTTTTTAATTGTATTTCATATGAAGTAGTTTCTCTATACTTAGTACAGGACTGCTCCACATCACGCACACACACGTACGCACACACACGTACACACACACGTACACACACACACGTACGCACACAGAGGCAGACGGGGACAGCCAATACAGTCTATGGTACAGCCGCGGATCACAAAGCACCTGTCAAAGCAATGCACTCTCCGAACTATATGAAGCACTATATGAACCGTGACGTGGTGCGGCCGCTACGCGAGGCTTCGAACGTCACCACACACGTGACCAACACACGCCTCGACCCACGCTACAAAAAATACGCCCCTTTTTTACTCGGTACACGCTTCGAAGGCCCGGCACGCTCAGCACATTACTAGTGTGTAGGGTGTGTGTGTGTGTGTGTGTGTGTGTAGGGAGTGCGCGGATGTCAGGAGTGTGTGTAGGGAGTGTGTGTAGGGTGTGCGCGGAGGGTGTGTGTGTGTGGAGGGAGCACTCGTCCTCATTGTTCTTTTGTTCTGCAGGAATACAGAAATCGTGTTTTCCATGACTTCAGAAACGGACTGTGCAGAAACCTGGTCTGCACAGGTGAGTATCCCGGTCTATCCCGGTCTGACCCCGGTCTGACCCCGGTCTAACCTGGTTCTGGTGCTCCCCAGATCTGTTCACTCGAGGTATCGACATCCAGGCCGTCAACGTCGTCATCAACTTTGACTTCCCCAAAAACGCAGAGACGTATCTGCATCGAATCGGAAGATCCGGTAAGTTTGAATGATTAGGTTCAAACTGCGGCACGATATATCGGATCGATATCGCGATATTGGTGCGTGCAATATCCATATCAAAAATATGCGCAATCAAAAAGAAAATATTTCTTTCCTTTTTGTTAAAGACAAAACTGACTTTTCTACATTCAAGAAAAACGACAAAAGTATTTAAATGCATTTTTAATGTTAATGTTATTTGTCTCTTGCGTTTCAATGAGATCTGCTTTGAATGCATTTGCAGACGATGTGAAATAACGATGTTATTGCCATATTTTTTTATCAAAATACTAAACACTCAAATCGATTATTGCTCTAATTTCCGATATCGTGCAGCCCTAGTTCAACCTGAGTTTGTCCATTGTGAGATAATAAAGTATCATCTGAATAAATTGAGTGATGGATTTCTGTTGAAACTGTCGTCTGGAGAAAGTAGAATTATTGACTTGTGGGAGGTTTTGACTCTTTGAGGTTATATAGCCACAAATCTCAGACCGATTCAAGGATTATGTAATCACAATCAGCTGTTGTTCATGTCTTGGTTTCTCATGAAATGTATCTTGGCCCAATTTGGTTATTTATAGAATCTATTTGTTCTGCTGCTTCTGGAGACCTCAGTTTCTCCGACAGGATCAATAAAGTATCATTGACTATAATTAATCCAAATCCAGTGCATCAGACTTTTCTCCGATTGTTTCCCCTTTAATCTATAATAATGTTCTGGTCTTGATTCTGGTGTGACTCTTTGCTCCAGGTCGGTTCGGACACCTGGGCCTGGCCATAAACCTGATCACGTCTGAGGACCGGTTCAACCTGAAGTCCATCGAGGACCAGCTGGTGACGGACATCAAGCCCATCCCCGGAGCCATCGACAAGAGTCTGTACGTGGCAGAGTTCCACTGCGTGAACGACTGCGACGAGGACGAGCCGGAGGTTAAACGCCCGACGGACAGCACCTAAACGTGAGACCCACCACCGTTTGAGTCCATACAGACCCAGGACAGACCGGGTTAAATGTAGTCAGTGGGTTTCTCTGGGGACTGGGCTGAACCTGGATTTGTCTCATGTGGGTCAGACTATTCTAGGTATAATCAAGGGTTAAAATAGGACTTTCTACAGTCATTGATTTGATAAACTATTTCTGGAGTCTCCGTCTGAAGTTTGCTCTTTGTGTTGGGTTAACAGTTAATGAGCCTGGATCAGTTTATTATTCAGTGAAAATCTGACCAGAGTTAAAGTCGATACAGGTTAAATGAGTTCAGTTCAGGCCTGAATGAGTTCATGTGAAGTCGAGGCTGTCAGGAAAAGACTTATCTTTATGTCCAGCTTTTTCTTTCCAGAGCATTTTAACCTCAGTCAAATGTTAGTGTGTACCTGTAGGCCATTAGTGTGTGTACCTGTAGGCCATTAGTGTGTGTACCTGTGTAGGCCATTAGTGTGTGTACCTGTGTAGGCCATTAGTGTGTGTGTACCTGTGTAGGCCATTAGTGTGTGTGTACCTGTGTAGGCCATTAGTGTGTGTGTACCTGTGTAGGCCATTAGTGTGTGTGTACCTGTGTAGGCCGTTAGTGTGTGTGTACCTGTGTAGGCCGTTAGTGTGTGTGTACCTGTGTAGGCCGTTAGTGTGTGTGTAGGCCGTGTAGGCCGTTAGTGTGTGTGTGTACCTGTGTAGGCCGTTAGTGTGTGTGTAGGCCGTTAGTGTGTGTGTAGGCCGTTAGTGTGTGTGTAGGCCGTTAGTGTGTGTGTAGGCCGTTAGTGTGTGTGTAGGCCGTTAGTGTGTGTGTGTAGGCCGTTAGTGTGTGTGTAGGCCGTTAGTGTGTGTGTAGGCCGTTAGTGTGTGTGTAGGCCGTTAGTGTGTGTGTAGGCCGTTAGTGTGTGTGTAGGCCGTTAGTGTGTGTGCGTGTACCTGTGTAGGCCGTTAGTGTGTGTGTACGTGTACCTGTGTAGGCCGTTAGTGTGTGTGTGTACCTGTGTAGGCCATTAGTGTGTAGATAATGTGTTCATGTTTTCTACTATATAAATGAAATGACACTGATACTATGAGTGAGTTTGTGGCTGAACATGTGACTAGTCTGACGTGTTGGATGAAAGTGTAGCTTATGAACATGTCTTTTCTAACCCTGTGTGTTTGGTTCCAGAGTCTCACTGGTCTCGGTCTCGGACTTAAGCCCACGGCGACGCTTCAGTTTCACATTTCCTGTTTTGGCCGCCTGTGACGCAGAAGTCCAGGCCTGGTTTTGTTTATTTCCTGCCGTTGTCTCTCGAAGCTCCTCGCTGCTTTGCACTACGTTATTTTAACTTAAATTCTCCGAGTTGATCTGAACCTGGGTCGTCTCTCTCACGCGTCCAAAGCCTCCATTCTTTAGTTCGCTGTTTCCGACGGGGCTTCGAACCCGCGCCCCACTGTTCTCACTGAAGTGCCTTATAAGAAAATCCTCCGTCCACAGCAGACGAAGAGCACAAAACGAAACACAATGAATTTTATTTTTAGACATTTTATGCAAGAGAAATGAACTCGGAGCTCCACCTTTCACCCTGAATGTGATCGTCGCAATAAAAATGGCAGCTTTGGTCAAACTTCACGACTGTTTCCATTTGACATGAGTGAATTCTGATGGAATTGGGCTGTAGAAAACTGTTATAGGTTCATTCTGACGCGATGAGAGCCGTGCTGCAAATACGTTTTTAAATCTGTAAACTCATGACTCGTTTCTCTCGACGTGGACCACTGAACGAGAGGCTCTTGGTTCAGATCAATTTGGAAGTTTTAATTTCCAGCTTTGAATAATTTGTGCCGAGCGGTCGCAGGTCTGGCTTTGTTTCCCCGTCATGTATTTATTTTCTGATCCCTGTGGTGTTGAAGAGTTGGTGGATGTTGCCGATGCGGTGTGAGCCGAGGCTTTCCTTTAGTTGCTACTCGATAATCACGTTTATTCACCACACGAATGCTGTGGACCACGTTTCAAATTCAGATGTTTCAGAGTCAGAAAAATATAAATTATCGCAGTAGCAATGATTATCCCAGGACGGTTTTATTTCTCCAATCTTTAAAGGGGTTTTGTCAAAGCAAAATTGTAGCATCTTTGAAGAGGCAGCTGTGACTTTCATTTGTTCCCTCCCCGAACAGAGCCTACCAACAAAAACATGCATAAAAAGAATATTTTTGCTTTTTGGAAATTTTATTTTTAATTCTTAAAATGGGCAGAAGGTCTTGGGTTCATGATGGGTTGGTGTTTAAAGTGATGCTCCAGTTGGGGGCTGCTAAACTTTATCCAGTTCTTGAAAATCCCTGGGAACAGATTAGAAAAGGGTTTTTCAAGAGCTAGAAAGAGTTTTCAAAGCGTTTAAACCCGGCTTTATAGAATTGAAGGTGGGATCATGGTGCTTTCTGGTTATTTTAACTTTGGGTCCATTTTCTATTTTTCTAAATGCAGTTTTGGAATTTTGAAAAGGCAAATTGTAAATGATTCTTAGTTTACAACGTTGTATAAAATTACAAACGATTGCTTTGCTTTTTTGGGGGTGGAAAGTTTTATTTTATTTTTTTTCTTGGGATTATTTTCCTGAAACAAACATTGAAGCAAAACCAAAAAGTGAAGTGTGAATGACGGTTGTGTGAAGTGATGAATGAAGAGTGGCTGGGTTTCCTGTTTTTTACACGCAGCTGAATCGAAATCCTCAAAATGGTCTGAAAAAAATGGCTTCAAATCTTCCAGTGACTTCGGCCTCGAGCTGCGTGTGCGACGAGGAAATCATTCTTCTGTTGACGTCGTGAGTAAATGTGCGACTGTCGGGAACCCTTTTATTTTGTTTACAAAAGTACGACAGTTTCATCCCTGATCAGTCTTTCCAAAACTCTCACGTGACCCTCTTTAAAAAGCTGAAACTGCTTAAATGTGATATAATTTGTTCTATTTTTAGTATTAAACACAGAATGGGCATAATGTGACAGAAGGGAACTAAATGTAAACAAAAAGATGGGTTTTTGTTTTGGTCACGTGAGCGTTTCGGTTGAAGCAGTTTTGAATGTAAATGTCAGTTAAGACGTCGTTTTCTTTTGCACTCTTTAAACCAGTGCAAACGGGAGAAAAACAAACGGGGGGAGGGCGATCGATCATTTGGGACAAGAATCGGTTGGAAGAGTTAGAAATTGGGGTTCTAAACGTGCAACAGGACTCTCAGAATAATTGGCCAAATCTTCTGGAGTTTCAATTTGCCAAAAAAAAAATAAAAAAATTGGAAGTTGCCAGATTTTGCGACACAAGATTCAAATGAGAAACGTGGATTTTTCTGCACTAATCTGCTCTTAACGTCGCCGCGGCACTTCAAATGTCATGCTATAAATGACACGCGAGTATTAAACCTGGCGCAGTATTTAAGCACAACACGGGACAGAACATAATGGACTCAACTATGAACCGCAATTGGCTGAATTTTACTTTTTTTATTAATTAGATGGAACGCTTAAATATTTCCAGTCAAAGGGAAGTGTGATTTTGTTTTTCAGTCGAGGTTTTTAAGATTGTACCTTTACTAAAAATAAGTTTGTGACCACATGAAGTTATGGGACATTTTTGTATTGTTTACAAAATGCAAATCTGTGTTACTCTTGTTTAAATTCTGTACAATTTATTTTTCTTTCAAAATTGGAGAATGCTGTAAAATGTCATTATTTTCTTGAGGTTCCAGCCCGTGTTGTCTGTTCCCCTGTTGTAACATTGATCTACTCGCAAAGGTGGACAGAAACTTAAATAAATTGGACTACTGAACTACGCACTCTTGTTTTCATTTGATAAACGCAGAGTCAGACTTGTTCCTAACTTCAACTGATTGTGTTTTAGCTGTTTCTGAGGCGGTTGTGTTTCACAGTGAGAATGTGTTGGGTTTAAATTCCAACTCTAGATGGAGCCTGTTTGTGTAGTTTGGCTGTTCTCCCCTTTTTAAATCTTTACAATAGTCCGTTACTCCCTCCCTGACCCCATTTATCTTCTGAGGACAGCACTAATAGATTCTGAGAACACTGGGCTTTCCTGGTTAAAGGTGTTTTAACAGGTTTGGGTGTCACTGACTCGACATTTATTAATAAACATAAACCTTACACCCTTAACCACTGCTCTGGTTTAAAACACATCTCCTTTATAATTGTAAAAGAACTTTCCATAGAATAGTTTATCTAAAGGAGCAGTGTGGCCAAAAGTGGTACTGCAGCCTCTCCCACTCTCCCTGACTCAGGTTGCCAGATATGCAGACGAATCCAGCTGGGACCATAACAGCTGAATAGACAAGAGTTTTGTCAACAACAAATCTATAACCAACACCTTTTTCACAAAGATAGAAATCCTGGTTTTATTCCTTGTTTTGTCGTTAATGATTTGAGAATCATAACGAGACCTTTTTTAGTTCTGCGCCACATGGTACTTTATCAGTGAGATTATCTCCACACTGACTTTCTGATTGGTGAAACGGAGGAGGGCGGGACATCGAAATGAAACAAGAATTAGGATCTGGAAAAGTATTTTAGAAATTCAAATATCTCTGAACTACTGTTATCAGTTAAAGTATTGGAAGAGAACAGTATTATGACAGATTAGGGCCCTTTAATGAGGACATGACATGAAAATCGGATTCAGACTACTTTATCCCACCAGGGGCAGTTCATTTGAGCAGCACATAAAAAGACAGGAAATAAGTGATATGACATGAAGTGGAGCCCCATACGAACTCTAAATGTAATGTTGTGGAAGAGTATCAGAAGGATCAACCTTTCTATGTTAACGGGTTCTTCTCTGAGACATGGATTTGTGGAGATGAGGTCCTGCTCAAAGTTGGGCAAAATATTTTACTTTTTTCAATGCTATAAAAGTGTGATGGGGTTTAATAATAGCTTAGCTTTAGATCTGGAATAACATAAATTAAACATCCCCAGCCTTTTGGTGGCTGTGCCTAACAAAATATTCTTTTGTTTTGGGTAAATTTGAACAAATCAATTTCTTTAATCTTTTAGAAGTGACTTTAAGTGGATTTACGGGATAGTTACGCTTTTCAGACATGACCGTTGCATTATGAATGAAATGATCTTTAATTATTTTTATTTGATTAGAAGGAAAAGATGTAATGATTCAGTTTAAGTTGAAACGACGCAGTTAAAGTAAAGTTTAATCTCTTGACCTTGAAGAATATTTAACTGAAGTTTTGTTTAACAAATGACTGGACCAATCACGGCGCAGGATGTCTCTGTTATCCCACCCTCTTCCACTGCCTTTTGATGGACTATATGTTTGTCGAATCATCGATGAGCTGTGTTGTGAATAAACCAATCAAATGTCTGACCTGAGAAGTGGGCGTGTTTTTGGGGCAGTGACGTAACTTTCGTGCTGCCGGTTTCAACTTCCGGCTGCATCGTCCTCTGGAAACACAACGTGAGTCCACACGTTTAGTAGGTCGGTTTTTCCTAAATATAACTATTAATCTCCGTGGGAATAAGCCCAGACTGCGCATTTAATCTGACAAAAGTGTGGGCATTGAACTCAACGGTTTATATTCTGTATTTTCACTGAAGCAGAGCGTCATTAGCCTGAGAAGCTAACGTAGCCGGTAGCTCCACAGCCTGACACATTTCATTCAAAGCTTCATTTTGACACGAATTCCTCGTTTTCCACGTTACAAATGTCAACGCTGCAGGATGTTGTTTGTCAGACTGCAGTGCACACTATGTTTATGTCTTTATGTAATTATTATAACGTTGGATACTTTGAACGAATGGTCCTGGTGTGAGAGGTGAACAATGTCTGCAAAGGTTATGTGATGTAGAGGTGTGGCATGGTCCAGATTGTGTCCGTTACAACAATGTCCTTCGAGATTTTATTCATTGTTTTTTTTGCAATGTAATGTAATATCAAGCTATAATTATTGATTAATGCACTGCAGCACTCAAACGACCTCCAGCATTCAGACACTAAATACATAGATCATAGAGAATATAATTATGATCTGGCCAAATGTGATATTTGTTTTTAGAGTTTGTTACTAAGGAAAAGTCTCCCCAGTGTTTGAGGTGATAAGGGTATGTTGAATTACTGGAAATGAATGTTTTGCAGCTTTTATTTACAACAACTTTAAACTTGAAAGTCTGTTCTCAGTTCAGTGATAGGACATAGACCCCTGTGGATGCTTTTGTGTCCACAGGCAAGTGTGAGTAAATTACTAGACACACTTCTGAACTCTGGAGGCAAAGGAGGAACTGTCTGCAAAATGTTGTAAATATTGGATGTTTGTTTGTCTGTTTTCTTGTTTGTTTTTGATTTACATGGACCCTTTGTTGTCTGAATTAAATAAATGAATAAAACTAGTTGTGTTGAGAGTTCCACGGTGCAGATCGTCAACCTGGCATCCATCAGGACTTATCTTAGCACCGTCCTTCATACTGGTGTACATAAGTGTTTACTATAATCAGCCTGTTTAAAAACTATGGTTATTATATTCTGTCTCTGTTGTCTAAATTCTACAGTATTTCTAATCAACACATTCATCTTTAATGATCACAAAGTTCATTAACTTCTTAATGATTCTCATTCTCTTGGGTCTCACTGTTCTTTCAGAATGGGCAGTGTGTTGGCAGCCAGCTCCCCGCCCCAGCCTCCCCCGGCCACAGGGGGTGCTGTTCCCCCAGGCCTCACGGTGCCTCCAGGCTTTGGGATGCCCCCGGTGTCTGCTGTCCTGCCCTCGTCTGCTGCTCCAGAGGAAACGGAGAGCTCTTTACCAAACCCCGGGGGCTTCGAGGAGTGCCATCGAAAATGCAAAGGTGAACTTAACTGAAAAGAGACTGAAGGATGCAATTCTCACAACAGGGAGGGTGGAGGAGGGTGGAGCGGGGTGGAGCGGGGTGGAGCGGGGTGGAGCGGGGTGGAGGAGGGTGGAGCGGGGTGGAGCGGGGTGGAGGAGGGTGGAGGAGGGTGGAGCGGGGTGGAGGAGGGTGGAGGAGGGTGGAGCGGGGTGGAGGAGGGTGGAGCGGGGTGGATGGAGGGTGTATGTAGGAGGGTGGAGGATGGGTTACATAGTTAGACAGAGCGAAGGTTGTCTCCTTGTACAGTATAAATATAATTATGGATTTTTTTTCTTTGTAAAAAGAAAAGATTGAAATTGGTTGAATCTTGGCTGAAGCTTAAGATTATAAAATGAAAACCTATTTTTCACATGATTTTGGTGATGAATGTAAAATGTTGATCACGATAATGACTGTTTATAGAGTATTTTGTGTTGCTGAACCAAGTGACTGCCTCCTGCGGCTGCCTGACTTTTATCAAATTATTTTTACCTTTTTGACCTTTTTCTTCCAGTTCCATTGTTTATTTTCCTTTGTTCTGTGTATAAGCTGTGAGTCCTGGTAATGTTAAAGTTTATTAAACCAACACTTTGATCTTTGCTTTCAGAGGTTTTCCCGATGCAGATGGAGGGAGTCCGCTTACTTGTCAACAAAGGTCTCAGCAACCACTTCCAGGTGAATTTAGATATTATTATTATTATTATTATTATTGTGATTATTATCATCTAACCCCGGCCTCTGCAGGTGAGCCACACGGTGATGCTCAGTACGATGGGAGACTCGAGCTACAGGTTTGGGGCCACGTACGTCGGACTGAAGCAGATGGGACCAGCGGAGGCAAGTCTTTATGGTTATACGTCTTTATGGTTGTACGTCTTTATGGTTGTACGTCTTTATGGTTGTACGTCTTTATGGTTATACGTCTTTATGGTTATACTATAAATATCATTGACTGGAGGAAAATAATGACAATAAGATCAAGTCCCAATGTGAACCAAGATGTTTATTCTTTACTTATGACTTTTCAACCTTTCTCTTGTTCCAAAAAAATGTGGAAAAATTATTTAATGGTTAAAATGTGCCTCCGTCAGAACTGCCCAGAAACAATCATTCTCAGGCCTGGACTCCACCGGGCGCGTCTCCGTTGACGCGCGTTGGCTGCTGTCCGTCAGACGTCCGTAAAACGGACCAGTGGTCAAACCGCTGCAGCAGCAGCTCTGGCTGTGCGTTTATCAGCAGCTTTGTTTTTGTAGGAGACATGTTTGGGCATTGTGTGAATGAATGAATGTTTGGCTGATGGAGGAGTTATGTATTGTCGGCGTGTGTGTGTGTGTGTGACTGCAGCGTTTATTATGATCCAGCCTCTTCGTTTGTTTTCTATACTTATTTAGCGCGTCAACACTTTTATCGGAGCCAACTCGCCTCTCTGCGGCTTTAGGCAACAGGCAGCCGCTATAGTTTTAAATAGAAGAAGCAGTGTGTGAAGTGCATGAGCTGTGGCTATGATCAGTGCAAAGCACAGCATTGAAGCATTGAGGACGTCGCGATGGATGAGGCAAAACTTATTTAAAGCAATTGGAAAAAGGGGAGAGAGAAAAGAACTCCAACATATCCAGTGTTGTGAGATCTGTCTCTCATAAGTGCAGCTCTGTGAGTGTGAGTGTGAGTGTGAGTGTGTGGGAGCGCGCGGCGGTGAGGAGAGAGCGCCTCGCAGGTGGACGGGACAGAGCGAGAGAAAAAAGAGCGAGGTGTATGTAAAGATTAGCGTATTAACATTACGCAAAAAATAAATGGTAGATTTACGTTCAGGAAACAATTCTTTAAAGTAATACATGAAAAAACGTTACACACGTTTGTTAATAATCATTGTCATTAACAAATACTTATAACCAAGGACTACAGCAGATACATGTTTAACAATGTTGTAAATATATTATTCCATTGTATTTTCAATGGAAAACGGTCCCGACACGCGTCGACGGAACAAATAGGATTGTTTCTATTTCGTCCGTCCGCGTCCGTTGCACCCTCCGTTAACGGAATCCGTCCGACGTGCGTCAGTCAGACGGTTGTTGGAGGCAGTGGAGCCACTTCCATTCACCCTCATGGAGATAACGGAGACGGAGATGAAACGGACATGTTTGGCCGGATCCGTCGTCCAAACATGTCGCGCCCGCTGGAGTCGGGGCCTAACATTTTACTGGTGAAAAATCCCAGTTTCAGCAGAAAAAGTAGAAAAAGCAGCGAACACAAATATTCTGTTCAAGCGGATTATTTCCTTCACAGCAGCAGACTGTGGGTACATCTTAACGTTGTGTGTCTTCTGTGTGTGTCTTCTGTGTGTGTGTGTCTTCTGTGTGTGTGTGTCTTCTGTGTGTGTGTCTTCTGTGTGTGTCTTCTGTGTGTGTGTCTTCTGTGTGTGTGTCTTCTGTGTGTGTGTCTTCTGTGTGTGTGTCTTGTGTGTGTGTATCTTGTGTGTGTGTCTTGTGTGTGTGCAGTTCTTCCCTGTGATGGTGGGAGACCTGGACAACACTGGGAGTCTAAACGCTCAGATCATTCACCAGCTCAGCCCCAAGATCCGCTCCAAACTGGCTTTCCAGGTAAAAAAGAATCATATTTTAGGCTTAGTTTGTCCCTCAGTCTGAGCACATCTCAGATGTTCATGTTTTTAATGTGTTTGTGTTTATTTAAACGTTCAGACGCAACAGAACAAGTTTGTGAACTGGCAGGGAGACGCAGAGTACCGGGGGGACGACTTCACCGCCACCGTCACGCTGGGAAACCCCGACGTCCTCCTGGGATCAGGTCTGAGGCCTCTCTGCGGCGGGACCGGGCCCATCTCATTTTGGTCATTTTGGTCATTTTGGTCAGGGGCCAAGTTTAAAAAACAGAAGTCCTTTATTATCTTGTTTTATTCATATGTTTTTTTTAAAAATTGTGAGTTTGGATTCAACCACAGCGGGGCCACAGTTTGTTTGGGCCTAGCCTTAACTTCTAATTAAATGTTAACATTTTAGAACAAAATAATCTTTAAAAAAGTTTAACATGTCATAGTATTCTTTTAGCATTCCTTGTTTTCCAAAGTGACTGTAAAAGTGATAATTGTAAATAATTTCAGGGGTCACTAAATTTAGTGTCGCAGGCCGGATTTGGCCCACGGGCCGGAGTTTGATGTGCCTGACTTATCTAATTAAAGAATGTGCTAATAATCTAATAATGTATGTATTGTGTGCGCCCCTTTAAGGCCACAGTAAGATTTAGATTTACATTTGACAAACATGACAATACAATTACAATACAATACAGTGTATTCTTGTATAGCCCTAGGTCACAACAGAAGTCATCTCAGAGGACTTAACAAAACCATTGAAATCACCAACACAGGTCAGAGAATCAACAGTTAAAACACATGAAGAATATAAAGCACACACAGAAGAAAATGTCCATACATGTTGTAGAATGCTAAAGTGTCCTGATCATCACCAATCCTTTCTGTTGGACACTAACTGTCCAACAAGACCCTCCTGCATCCACAAGGAAAAACTCTTAAAAAACCCAGTGGGAAAAAGTGAGAAACCTTGGAGGAGAACTAGGGAAACCCACAGGGAGGGAGACCCATATGAGAAAGGGATCCGCTCCTCCAGACGGACAGACTAATGATCTAAGACCTAAGCTAGCTACAGAACGCGGACCAGTGGCCGCTGAACGTGGACAGGTCCGGTGCAGGACTGAAGCACTCCCAGGCGGGTCGGGCGGGGCAGTCCGCAGGTGTAGATGGAGGAGGCCAGGCTCAGAGATCCCGTCATCGTACCATGAAACAGACAATGGGACAACGGGTGAATAGCAATGAACAAACTACAGTCAGAATCCTAATAATGCTAAACAGATAAAGTAGGAAGGAGGAGAGGATAGTGCTCAAGTTACCATACTTCTCCAGCAGGGGGCTCCCTATGCAGCTTGACTGACAGTCTGAGGAGTTTAACCTTCTCCGAGTCTTACCTTCCTAGCCATATGCTAAACTAAAGAGGACTGTTTTAAACCTAGCCTTGAATAAAGAATAACATACAGCATAATATATAACATAATATACAACATAACACAATACATTATTGAATAATATATAACATAATACAGCATATATATATAATATATACACTACATATTATATATTACCTAATTATATGCTAAATTAAAGTAAAGTGCTTTAAGCCTGGCCTTGAATGTGGAGACCGTATCTGCTTCCTTAACATAAATGAAGCTGATTCCACAGTAAAGGAGCTTGGTAGCTAAATGCTCTGCCACCAACAGTGACCTTTGAGACCTTAGGGACCACCAGACGTCTGGCGTTTTGTGAGCGCAACGCTCGACCTGGTTGATACGACACTAACGTGTCTTGGAGATAAGAAGGAGCCAAGCCATTTATGGCTTTATATGTTAAGAGTAGGATTTTAAACTTTATTCTGTACTCCACAGGGAGCCAGTGGAGTGATTTTAACACCGGAGTTATGTGCTCCCTCCTTTTGGTACCTGTTAAGATCCTAGCTGCTGTATTCTGAACGAGCTGGAAGCTCTTCAAAGAGGCTTTAGGGCACGCTGCCAGTAAAGCGTTACAGTCGAGCCTTGAGGTGACAAACGCGTGAATGAGTTTTTCCGCGTCACTTTTAGGAAGGAAATTCCTCATTTTAGCGATGTTCCGTAAGTGGAAGTACGCCGTTTTAGTTGCTTGGCTTATATAAGCCTTGAAGGAGAGTTCTTGGTCAAAAATGACTCCAAGATTCCTCACAGTGTTACTGGGTATTATACTGACATTATCAGAGTAATTATCTGGTTAGTGAGGGAGTCACGCAGGCGCTTCGGACCGAGTAGGATCACTTCTGTCTTCTCCGGGTTGAGAAGTAGGAAGTTAAGAGTCATCCACATTTTAAGGTCCTTTATGCAGGCACTGAGCTTTTCTAGCTGATCTGTCTGATTAGGCTTCATCGACAGATAAAGCTGTGTGTCATCTGCATAGCAGTGGAAATTAATTCCATGCTTTTTAATAATGTTTCCCAGTGGCAGCATGTAGAGAGTAAAAAGAATCGGTCCGAGTACCGAACCCTGCGGCACACCGAATTCCACTCCAGAATAAGGCGACGAGTCCTGATTCACATTGACGAAGTGATATCGATCTGATAAATAGGATTTAAACCAGCCAAGGGCTGTTCCTCTAAGACCTATATCACATTCTAGCCTCTGCAGTAGAATGCTGTGGTCTATTGTGTCAAATGCAGCACTAAGGTCCAGTAGGACCAGCACTGACACTTGTCCATTATCGGCAGCTAGTAGTAAGTCATTTGTGACTTTGACTAGAGCCGTTTCAGTGCTATGATGAGCTCTGAATCCTGATTGAAAGACTTCAAACATATTATTTTCCTGCAGGTGGCAGCGGAGCTGCTCAGCTATAAGTTTTTCCAGGATTTTAGATATAAAAGTGAGGTTTGAGATCGGTCTGTAGTTTGTAAGTATTTCTGGGTCCAGGTTTGTTTTCTTCAGAAGGGGTTTGATTACCGCGGTTTTAAAAGCTTGTGGGACATAGCCACATTGTATGGATGCGTTTATTATATTTACGATAGGCTCAATTATCAAAGGAAGTATGTCTTTGAAGAGCCATGTCGGGACTGCGTCTAACATGCAAGTTGAGGCTTTTGAGGATGTGACCACAGAGATCACCTCTGCTTGGCTCACAGCCATGAATTTATTGAGGCTCACTGAAGAGTCTAAGTGGGAAGTCACGTATGCCGCTTCAACCTGTCCACCACTAACAGCAGGAGCAACCTCCTCCAGCTTGTCACGGATGGATGTAATTTTATTATTAAAGAAGTGGAGAAAGTCGACACTGCTCAGTGAGCTTGGAATTTTAGGCTCGATTGCGCTATGGCAGTTTGTGAGTTTAGCGACGGTGCCAAACAAAAATCTACTGTTGTTTTTATTCGCTTCTATTAAAGTTGAATAGTATTGAGTTCGAGCCCCGCGAAGGGCCTTCTTGTAGTTTCGGAGACCTGCTTTCCACTCCCTGTGGACAGGCTCCGAGTGGGAGTGGCGCTATAGCCTCTCCAATTTTCTGACGTCCTGTTTTAAAGTGTGGAGTTGAACACTGTACCAGGGCGACGATGATCTAATCCTAATAGTTTTCTGTTTTAAAGGAGCTGCTGCATTTAATGCAGATTTTAAAGACTCCATAGTGTTGTCCACAGTTTGGTCAATGACTGAGGGACTGCAGCTGCTGTGAACAGGTTCACCTGCAGCAGTATTCAACATAGGCTGTATTAGTTCTTTGAACCTTGTGATAGATTTATCATTTAAGGTTCTTTTCATTATGGTTTTATCTTGCGGGACAGGAAAGTCCTCCAAATCGAGATCAAACGTGATCAAGAAATGGTCAGACAGCAACGAGCTTTGACGCTGGATGTCAACATTGGAGACATCACAGCCGTAGGTCAGGACAAGGTCCAAGGTGTGGTTATGAATGTGAGTAGGTTCCTCGACATTCTGAGTAAAACCAACACCATCTAGTACGGCGCTGAAAGCTTTGTTTAAGCTGTCAGTGCTGTCGTCCACATGTATATTGAAGTCTCCAGCTATAACTATGTTTTCCCATTCCAAAACTAGGTTTGAAATGAAGTCAGAGAATTCTGTTAGGAACTCGCTGTAAGGACCAGGAGGTCGGTATAAAACTATAAATAGTACTGCTTTTTGTTTTCTCCACCCAGGACAGGTGATTGAAAGTGTTCAAACGAGTGAAAAGCGTTGTTGGTTTTGGGACTAAGAACCAAGTTGGTGTGTGATATAATCGCAACGCCACCGCCGCGACCTGTAGCTCTGGCTTTCTGGTAGTTAACATGCGTCGGAGGAGTGCACTCATTCAATCTAACGTAGTCGTCCTGTTGGAGCCAAGTCTCCGAGAGCGCAAACAGATCCAAGCCCTTGTCTATAATAAGTTCGTTTATGAGAAGCGATTTAGACGAGATTGATCTGACGTTCATTAAACCACATTTAACAACCCTACTGTTAGAACTATTTCTGTCTGTCTGAACTTTTATTAAGTTACTGTGTCTGACACCTAGGTCAGATTTCCTCGCATATAGTGCTTTAGACTTCAAGCGAGGAACACACACAGTTTCAATCTGACTAGGTTCTGAGGCTAGTAACTGAGCACACACAGGCACACACACACACGCACACACAGTTTCAATCTGACTAGCCTCTGAGGCTAGTAACTGAACAGATGGGGGCTCAGAGGTTGTGGCAGAGCAGCTCTGCACCCGGGCCTCAGTTCTGCACCGTCATTTGAGCCGAGCAGAACAGTTTAGAGCCAGGGCCAAATTCTTAGCCAAAAGGGATGTACCCGCCAACGTTGGGTGGATATCATCCGAGCGGATGAGACCGGGCTTTCCCCAAAAGGCACTCCAATTGTCAACATGAACAACACCACTTCGAGGGCACCAGCCAGACAGCCAGCGGTTGAAAGCCGAGTGTCTGCTGAATGCTTCTGCACTGCTAGTGCTAGGTAGGGGCCCAGAGAAGATGACAGTGTCGGCCATTGTGCTAGCCAGCTTGCACACGGCGGCGACTTGCAGCTTCAACACCTCGGACTGTTTCCGCCGAACGTCATTACCACCCGCGTGAATAACAATTCGACGGAAACGCTGCTTGTGGGTCATCATGAGCCTCAGATTCCCTTCAATATCACCAAGCCTGGCCCCAGGGAAGCACCGAACAGTGGCTCCTGGGATCTTAACACCTCTAACAATAGAGGAGCCAATTACCAGCGCATCAGCGACTCCATCGGCTCTCTCAGCGGCTCTCTCAGCGGCTCTCTCAGCGGCTCTCTCAGCGGCTCTCTCAGCAGCTCTCTCAGCGGCTCTCTCAGTGGCTCTCTCAGCGGCTCTCTCAGCGGCTCTCTCAGCGGCTCTCTCAGCGGCTCTCTCAGCGGCTCTCTCAGCAGCTCTCTCAGCAGCTCTCTCAGCAGCTCTCTCAGCAGCTCTCTCAGCAGCTCTCTCAGCAGCTCTCTCAGCAGCTCTCTCAGCGGCTCTCTCAGTGGGGCCTTCTTCCCCGCCCGGCCGCGCGGGGGCGCAGCCGGACAGAGCGTCCCAGCGATTGTAAATGCTAACAGGAGGAGGCCCAATGGGGAAACTACCAACAACACGTGGCCCTCTCCGAACAGTCACAAAGCCATCACTATCCTGGTCTTGTCCCAGCTGCGGAGGACGGGCTGGGAGGCTAGGCTCGCTAGTTCTCCTCTGCCTTTCCCTAAAGCTGCGCTCCGCTGTCCCTGAGGATACGGCCTGGCTGTAGCTAATGCTAGCGCTAGCTCGAGACTCCAGTGCTCGGAGACGCAGCTCTAACTCACTGACCCTGGATTCCAGAGCTACGACTACACTACACTTCACACATCTATCACTACCCTCAGAGAAGGATCCAGGGTTTAGACTCGCCATATGGCAACTCGAGCAGTAAAGGATTGAGGGAGAGACAGCAGCCGCCATAGTAGCGAGTTAGCGGCTAGGCTAGGCTAAGCTAGGCTAGGCTAAGCTAGTACGGATCCGGGCCCGCACAACAGACTCCGAGACCAGACAAACAACCGCTACCTAAACCTCAGCTACAGTACAGCTGACTCGGAGTGCTTACACAGTTAGCTTGGTGTACAATACGTGGATTTGTAATGTGTTTGTTAGAGCAGAGAGCAGAGTGATAGCAGTCAAGAAACACGCTCACCGGATACAGGAAGTCACGTCATCATGTATCCCGTCTTACATTTCCAAAGTTGGAATTTCTATCCTCAAAATCTTTCATTTTTGAATCTCTCCGGTCACAGTCTTAAACACATTTTCAGCCCTGCCACAGGTGATTATAGCTATAAACAACTGTGATGTTTGATTGTTAAAGTAAAGCGTGTGTGTGTCCTCAGGCCTGGTGGTGGCGCACTACCTTCAGTCCGTCACGCCGTCTCTGGCTCTGGGCGGGGAGCTGGTGTACCATCGCAGACCAGGAGAGGAAGGCTCCGTCGTGTCGCTGGTCGGACGCTACACTGGTGCTGGATCAAAGTTCTGTTTATTTCAACGATTCACTTCATTTCTACAAACTCTAAAGTCTGCTGTGGTTTCAGGCAGTAACTACACGGCCACACTGACCCTGGGAGGAGCCGGAGCACACGCCTCCTACTACCATAAAGCCACGGACCAGGTGAGAAGGAAGCTGTAGGTTTATAATGTGGATATTATCACATTTATTATCACATCGAACAAAAGAAATGGACAATACAAAATATCTTACAATCATAAAAACCTGTTTATTCCAATTTCCTTTGGTGCCGTCCAAAATCAAAGCAGATGCAAATATAGATCAACCACATTCACAAACAGCTCAGGCCGTGTTTCTTTTTTTATTCAAAATGATTGCCTTTAAAGGGGTTTTATACTTTCCCACGTCTGCCGCCAGGTGGGGCTGTTTCACAAAGTCATCTGTCCTGATTAATGCGACAGATGTTTTTGGTTGAGTTTGTACAATTGTGCATCATTTAATTATTTCAAAGACATTTACAGTGAAAAGACTCTTCTCCACAGATTTAACTGGTAAAAGGAAAGTTGAATGACTGTTTCAGAATCATATCCTTTTGACTATTGGCAAAAAACAAACTAATTTGGACCAATCTGTCCAAAAATACAAATGGGACTTGGACTGAAACGCTTTAATGTACAAACAGGCAGATTATAGAGCAAAACCAAACCAGTAGACTTTTTAAACTGATTTTGACATTAATCAGGCCCCATCTCCACACACCACACACAAAACAAGTCTGCACTGTTCACATAAACATACCGAGGAGCAGCTAAAACCTGATTTAGTTTGAAGCTGTGTGTGTTTCAGCTTCAGGCGGAGGTTGAGTCTGTGTGTGTGTGTGTTTCAGCTTCAGGTGGGGGTGGAGTCTGTGTGTGTGTGTGTGTGTGTGTGTGTGTGTTTCAGCTTCAGGTGGGGGTGGAGTTTGAGTCTGTGTGTGTGTTTCAGCTTCAGGTGGGGGTGGAGTCTGTGTCTGTGTGTGTGTGTGTTTCAGCTTCAGGTGGGGGTGGAGTCTGTGTGTGTGTGTGTGTTTCAGCTTCAGGTGGGGGTGGAGTCTGTGTGTGTGTGTGTGTGTGTGTGTTTCAGCTTCAGGTGGGGGTGGAGTCTGTGTGTGTGTGTGTTTCAGCTTCAGGTGGGGGTGGAGTCTGTGTGTGTGTGTGTGTTTCAGCTTCAGGTGGGGGTGGAGTCTGTGTGTGTGTGTGGGTGTTTCAGCTTCAGGTGGGGGTGGAGTTTGAGTCTGTGTGTGTGTTTCAGCTTCAGGTGGGGGTGGAGTTTGAGTCTGTGTGTGTGTTTCAGCTTCAGGTGGGGGTGGAGTCTGAGTCTGTGTGTGTGTGTGTGTTTCAGCTTCAGGTGGGGGTGGAGTTTGAGTCTGTGTGTGTGTTTCAGCTTCAGGTGGGGGTGGAGTCTGAGTCTGTGTGTGTGTTTCAGCTTCAGGTGGGGGTGGAGTCTGAGTCTGTGTGTGTGTGTGTGTGTGTTTCAGCTTCAGGTGGGGGTGGAGTTTGAGTCTGTGTGTGTGTGTGTGTTTCAGCTTCAGGTGGGGGTGGAGTTTGAGTCTGTGTGTGTGTGTTTCAGCTTCAGGTGGGGGTGGAGTTTGAGTCTGTGTGTGTGTTTCAGCTTCAGGTGGGGGTGGAGTCTGAGTCTGTGTGTGTGTTTCAGCTTCAGGTGGGGGTGGAGTCTGAGTCTGTGTGTGTGTGTGTGTGTTTCAGCTTCAGGTGGGGGTGGAGTTTGAGTCTGTGTGTGTGTTTCAGCTTCAGGTGGGGGTGGAGTTTGAGTCTGTGTGTGTGTTTCAGCTTCAGGTGGGGGTGGAGTTTGAGTCTGTGTGTGTGTGTGTGTGTGTTTCAGCTTCAGGTGGGGGTGGAGTTTGAGTCTGTGTGTGTGTTTCAGCTTCAGGTGGGGGTGGAGTCTGAGTCTGTGTGTGTGTGTGTGTGTTTCAGCTTCAGGTGGGGGTGGAGTTTGAGTCTGTGTGTGTGTGTTTCAGCTTCAGGTGGGGGTGGAGTTTGAGTCTGTGTGTGTTTCAGCTTCAGGTGGGGGTGGAGTTTGAGTCTGTGTGTGTTTCAGCTTCAGGTGGGGGTGGAGTTTGAGTCTGTGTGTGTGTGTGTTTCAGCTTCAGGTGGGGGTGGAGTTTGAGTCTGTGTGTGTGTTTCAGCTTCAGGTGGGGGTGGAGTCTGAGTCTGTGTGTGTGTGTGTGTGTTTCAGCTTCAGGTGGGGGTGGAGTTTGAGTCTGTGTGTGTGTGTTTCAGCTTCAGGTGGGGGTGGAGTTTGAGTCTGTGTGTGTTTCAGCTTCAGGTGGGGGTGGAGTTTGAGTCTGTGTGTGTTTCAGCTTCAGGTGGGGGTGGAGTTTGAGTCTGTGTGTGTGTGTGTTTCAGCTTCAGGTGGGGGTGGAGTTTGAAGCCAGCTCTCGGATGCAGGACTCCAGTGTTTCGTTTGGATATCAGATCGACGTGCCCAAAGCCAACCTCCAGTTCAAAGGTTCTCTTCTGTTTCAATGTTTATCTTGGAACGACTCAAACGCAGCGTAAACAGTTCAGCATCACATTAGGCTCGTTTTTATCTATGACCTTTGATTCACAGATAAAACCCTGTTTAATAAAAGGCCTCCTGCAGTGATTAGATGCATGTGTCGTTCTCCCAAAGCGTGGCCTTGGTCACGTATGTAACGTGTGTCCTCGTTGTCCCAAAGCGTGGCCTTGGTCACGTATGTAACGTGTGTCCTCGTTCTCCCAAAGCGTGGCCTTGGTCACGTATGTAACGTGTGTCCTCGTTGTCCCAAAGCGTGGCCTTGGTCACGTATGTAACGTGTGTCCTCGTTCTTCCAAAGCGTGGCCTTGGTCACGTATGTAACGTGTGTCCTCGTCCCAAAGCGTTGCCTTGGTCACGTATGTAACGTGTGTCCTTGTTGTCCCAAAGCGTGGCCTTGGTCACGTATGTAACGTGTGTCCTCGTCCCAAAGCGTTGCCTTGGTCACGTATGTAACGTGTGTCCTCGTCCCAAAGCGTTGCCTTGGTCACGTATGTAACGTGTGTCCTCGTCCCAAAGCGTTGCCTTGGTCACGTATGTAACGTGTGTCCTCGTCCCAAAGCGTGGCCTTGGTCACGTATGTAACGTGTGTCCTCGTTCTCCCAAAGCGTGGCCTTGGTCACGTATGTAACGTGTGTCCTTGTTGTCCCAAAGCGTGGCCGTGGTCACGTATGTAACGTGTGTCCTCGTCCCAAAGCGTGGCCGTGGTCACGTATGTAACGTGTGTCCTCGTCCCAAAGCGTTGCCTTGGTCACGTATGTAACGTGTGTCCTCGTTGTCCCAAAGCGTGGCCTTGGTCACGTATGTAACGTGTGTCCTTGTTGTCCCAAAGCGTGGCCTTGGTCACGTATGTAACGTGTGTCCTCGTTCCCAAAGCGTGGCCTTGGTCACGTATGTAACGTGTGTCCTCGTTCTCCCAAAGCGTGGCCTTGGTCACGTATGTAACGTGTGTCCTCGTTCTCCCAAAGCGTGGCCGTTGTCACGTATGTAACGTGTGTCCTCGTCCCAAAGCGTTGCCTTGGTCACGTATGTAACGTGTGTCCTCGTTCTCCCGAAGCGTGGCCTTGGTCACGTATGTAACGTGTGTCCTTGTTGTCCCAAAGCGTGGCCTTGGTCACGTATGTAACGTGTGTCCGCAGGCTCCATGGACTCTAACTGGGTCGTCGGTGCCACTCTGGAGAAGAAGCTGCTGCCGCTGCCTCTGTCCCTCGTCCTCTGCTCCTTCCTAAACCACCAAAAAAACAAGTTCCAGTGCGGCTTCGGAGTCACCATCGGCTAACCACGACCTCTGACCTCTGACCCCAGAGAAGAACCCGGGCAGACTCTAACCGTCCATCATGACCTCTGCGGCTTCAGTGAGCAGTGTGTGAGCAGAGTGTGCGACCAAGACCAACGAGACCCTCAGGCGTTTGTGATCCAGAGTTATTTAGAATAATCAAATACTATTGCTTCTATTCCTTCACAGGGCAACAACAACAACACACACACACACACTTAATCAGACACACACACATATGCCACCTTTTAGGCGGCAGCCTCTTCAGTAATCTGATATATATATATATATATATATATATATAAACCCATACTTTACAGAAGTTGTAAAAATATATAAAGGAGAAACTTATTTAAAAGTGTCTAATCGAAGCATTTTCCAACTGGACTGAACTGTGGCCAAAATACTGGTCTATTTTATTTATTTTTTATACATTTTACTCATTTGCTGTGACATCACTGAGAGGAAAGACTTTCCACAAAAATCTGTTGAAACTTTGAAGCAACGCAGTTGTTTGTAATTTACAATACAGCCATTTCAGCTTAAAGTACAACAGCACCGATATATACAGTACATGTATATACAGTACATGTATATACAGTACCGATATATAAACTGTTTAGTTCATTTTGACCCATGACTGTAATGAAGTCAGTCTCAGTCTGTGGTGTGTTGATGCGATATTCAGAAATGACCTTTTTATTTTAATAATCAGTTTTATAAAGATTGCGTTGAGTCTCAGCTGAATGTTTTTGTCGGGACGCCTCAGCTTGGACTACGGCCACCAGGCCTCGGATAAAGCGGAAGTAGATGGTTGTATTGAATTGTTAGCCTTGGATCCTCTTTGGTCTTGGTCGCGGCCCTCGCACTGAAACGATCCGCAGTGACTTCAGTTTGAAGCCGGCGCTGCTTCACTTTCTTTTCTCATGATGTGAATGAACTGTTTCCTTTTCGGGACGATCAGGAAACAGATGTTTTTGCCTTTTTTGTGTTTTTGTTCATGTGAAACCGTAAATATAACTGTTTATATAAATATACCTCCTAGAAACAAGTAAACTATTTCTTACAAAAACTGACTTGTTTTGTTTTTAAAAATGTGTTTTTTTTCTGATGTGAGGATTTATTTTAATGTTAGACCCCGCCCATTCTCACCCTCTGCTTCCTGATTGGACGGAATTGATTTAAATCCTTGATACTTCTTCAGCAAATCTCTCAGATGGACTTGATGCAGATACTTTATTAAACTGTCTTTGAAGAAAACTGATACTACAGGGACGTGTGGTCAGGGAAAACCGGAGCACCCAGAGGAAACCTACAGACACAGGGAGAACATGCAAACTCCACACAGAAATGCTCTGTTCAGACTGGAGCCTTCTCAGAATTTACCATCATTTTCTTTTCATGTTTGACACATCTTGACATTCTGCATTTTAATATTTCAAAGATTATTACAGAAAAACTTACTATAATAATAATAATAATAATAATGAATACAATGTTTTAAAAAGATGTAGAATGAAGCGACCTTTGAATGTGGCTCTTCGTGTGATGAGGACTCGAACGATTCGTCTAAAGTCTGTCAATAATTTCACAAACACAAACTGAAAGAGAAACTTAATGGACTTAGCGGAAGAATCTGAAATGTGATTGTTTTAAATAACTTTATAGTCGTCTAAAGAGGAAGAGAAAAGTGTTATTTTTAAGGGTCAAAGTATCGTCCACATAAAACCTGCCACGTTTAAGAGACTTGGACCGACATCGAGGCGTCTGTAGTTTTTCACAGTTGTGTCTCACTGAGAACAAGACGGTTCTGTTTTATTTCCGTTACTCAAAATAACATCTGTCGTCGATAGTAACAAGTTTATTTTCTACATCTTTTCAGGAGACTTGAAGCAAAAGCACTGAAGTGGATCTGTTTTCCATCTTTTCTTTGGTAAATACACTTCTGTCTCTTATGGACCCAGTCTTTATGTGTTTTATATTATTCTGTGTTTGATTTTCTGATCTGTGTCGGAGAATAAACAGTTTTGTAAAGAGAAAACTACAGTTGAGTTGAACTGAAGACCAATATTAGGTTCTCATGGTCCACATAAAACCAGTTTACTTTGAAGCAAATCCATCTGTCGTGACTTTGACCGATCTCAGAAAAGACAAAGAAGCAAAGACTCTCAGTGTAATTTTGTTTTATTACTAAAATACTCTGGAGCGCAGGAGAAATAAATATCAGCGTGTGTTTTTACTGAGCTGTCTTCTGGGTGAAGGACTCCCACAGGGCGGTGACCTGGGCCCTCACGTCCTGAGCGTTGGCCTCCAGCTTGGCCTTGAGCTCCTCTCCGTAGGGGGCCAGGCTCTGCTGCACCTCCTGCACTTTCTGCTGGACCTGGACCTCGAAGGACTGGGTCAGAGGCGTCAGGCTGCTCTGGAAGTGCTCGATGCTCTGCTCCACCTTCTGCTTGATGTCTTCGGTGTAGGGTCCCATCTGGGCCTGCAGCGAGGTCTTCAGGTCCTGGCTCTTCTGCAGCAGCACGGCCTTCAGGGACTCTGCGTCCATGGACTCGGCCAGAGGCGTGATGGCGCTCTTCAGCTCGTCCATTCGCACCTGGGCGTCGGCGATGAGCTGCGAGGCCATGGGCTGGAGGTTGGTGCTGACGGAGGACAGCTCGGTCTCCAGCTGGGTCTTCAGGGTCTCGGCCTGGACTGTGATCTGGGACAGCAGGTCCTGGGACAGAGGGCCGGCCTGGGTCCTCAGAGCCACCACGTACTGGTTCACAGTGTCGGCGCTCTGGGAGAGCTTAGTGCTGGAGGAGACAGAGACTACTGTTACTCTTACTCTTACTGTTACTCTTACTCTTACTGTTACTCTTACTCTTACTGTTACTCTTACTCTTACTCTTACTGTTACTGTTACTGTTACTGTTACTCTTACTGTTTGAGTGGCGCTTTGAGTGGCCTTGTGTTGGAAAGGCGCCATACAAATAAAGTTGATTGATTGATTGATACTGTTACTGTTACTGTTACTTTTACTCTTACTGTTACTGTTACTCTTAATCTTACTCTTACTTTTACTCTTACTGTTACTCTTACTCTTACTCTTACTGTTACTCTTACTCTTACTCTTACTCTTACTCTTACTCTTACTGTCACATGATCTGCTTCATCTATTTCTGTTACTTTGGACGGACGGTCCTAATGAGCAGTAACTTGGACTTTAAAACATTTTGTTTCCATTTCTACGCCTTGTAAAAGAATTTGATTTGTAGAAAAACACTTTGATGTGAGTGAAAGGTTTTTATTTAAATGTCTTTTTCCATTTGTGTAAATGTGTGTTTTATGTTTTGTCCTAAATGTATAAAAAAAATGACTTTACAAACTCCTGCACCTGATAAAAGGTTTTTCAAATGAGTTTCCTGATGTTTGTCTCCAAACCTGCACTAAAGTAAGGATTACTTCAAGATTAGATTATAGATTATAATATATGTAGATTATAGATTATAAATGATTTAAAGCTGGGGTACCTGTTATTATGTTTTCATAGATAATACAATTATAACTTTAATATAAAGCCACAACCTGCTGTTTTCATCTTATTCAGGTATTTTCAAACTGAGGCCCGCGAGCCAAATGAGGCCCAATGTGTCATTTTCTGCGGTCCTCTGACGATAACACAAACAAGTGTCCTCCAGCCAACTGCAGCTCCACAAATATAGTCCTGTCGTACCTTGTGAAGCTAAGAACCTCTGGAATCTAATCCTGAAGTTTATTTGTGTGTTCAGACATTTGTTTTTGATGCGGCTCTGATGTTGCTCGTTTCCTCCAGTCCAGTCTCAAGCTGAAGACTTGAGGAAATGGGTGGAGTCTCGTGCTTGGTTGGAATGAAAACCTGCAGTGGAGCGGCCTGAAGACCACATTCCTGTCTCCGTCGCAGTTAAATCTCCGAGAGTCTTACTTGAAATCCTGTCCCAGCTCCGAGTCCTGCAGCTGCTTCAAGGACCCCTCGGCCATCTGCGTTGCCGTGGCAACGTAGTCCCAGAAAGTGGACTTCACCAGGTCCACGCTGGTCTGGGCCGGCACCACCACGTTGGCATTGCAAACTACACACAGACACACAACTCTTTAACACATTGCAAACTACACACAGACACACAACTCTTTAACACATTGCAAACTACACACAGGCACACAACTCTTTAACACTTTTATAACCCAACACAAATGTTTCTTGAAGTGAAAACATTTGGATGAAGATGAAAAACAGAGCACACACGGTTAGAATGAGCGGAACTGCCCCTGCTGGCGGTGGTGGGTATTACACACTGCTTTAAAATTCTGCTTCTACTTGTTCTACTTCTTATTCATGTTTTTATAATAGTTTTAAATCGTGCCGAGTCAGCATTTCAATTTCATGTCACTAAAACCTTGAACAGTTTTCATACTTTTACAATTTATACTATTTAGAAATGAATAAATATTTGTTATAGTTAGATTTTGGTCTTCTAGTATTTTGTTCTTGATTTTTGGCACAATTGTAGTTGAATCAAAACCTACCGGAAAATAAAATCCAAACTATGAAATCAAAAATAAATTTACAAAAATATGTCAAATGAAAATTATAATAAAAAAAACACTTTTATTCTTTTGGCCCAAACCAGCTTTAACGTTTTTAAATTTGGTTCTGACAAAAACTCCTGAGCTAAACAAATAAACTTCTTCCAACAACAAAATATAAATATAAATATAGATATAAATATAAATATAAATATAAATATGAATATAAATATAGATATAAATATAAATATAAATATAAATATGAATATAAATATAAATATAAATATAAATATGAATATAAATATAGATATAAATATAAATATAAATATAAATATGAATATAAATATAGATATAAATATAAATATGAATATAAATATAAATATAAACGTCACTCACCAGAGAAAAGGGCGAGAGCCACGAGGAACTTCATGATGGATTCTGAGAAAGTCAAAGAAAATCTGTTAAATCTATGAATGAAAAACGAAAATGATAAAATTATATTGAGATCGAAGAGGCTGTCACCTGGTCTGGTCTGGTCCGGTCTGGCCTGGTCTGGTCCGGTGGTTTGGCACCTCTGTGTCCTCTCTGCTCTTCCACAGACTTTTATACTCAGACTGTAGTGAGACTGGAGCTCAAAGTCCCAGAGTCCGTGTCCCGCTGGAGCCGACCACGTCACACTGGAGTCATCTTCTGTTTGTACCTGTGCTCCGCCTCCAGGGACCACAGGGTCAGGTCTGTTCGTACCTGTGCTCCCGAGTCAGCAACCTGGAAAATAATCAGTGTTTATCTTATTATTCCATTTATAACATTTCAGTGTCTTCATGATTAGCACGAGACAAGAGTTTATCACATCTTCACTAAATATAAAAATTCTTCATAAAAACTTAAATGTTCCTTTGTTCAGTTTATTTTCTTTGACACTTTGCTGCTTCTGTGGAAATATTTGTGTCATTATTAAGTTAAACCTTTGATATTTATTATAAGACGACTCTAACAACTTTTAAAACAGTAATTCCAACAAAACTGAATCCACTTTGTGTAAAAAGCACATTTCATGAATAAAAGAGAAAGTAAAGAAAAGGAAATGAAACTTGAAAAGATCACGGTTTAAAAGAAAGAAACCAAATCAAACAATATCAATGATACTATGATCCATCTTCTTCCCCTTAATCCACTTCTGGGTCGGGGGTGGCAGTCAGAGCAGCAGCCCCTGATCCTCCTGCAGGAGCTGAGTCCACAGGAGCCTTGGTCTTTCAGTGGGGGCTTCAGGCAAAGTGGGGTTAAGTGTCTTGCCCAAGGACACAACGACAGCAGACATCAGTGGGAGTCGTGAAGTAGGTCTTACGGTGGGCTCGAACCCACAACCTTCAGGCTCAAAGGCCAATGCTCTACCAACCACTGTTGCCCCTCTGATACTATGATGATAATCAATAATATTTCAAAACACAATAATAATCATAATATTTAACAATGTCTACAAAATATAATACAACAATAGATAATAACAATTATAATAACTTATTATTATATGATTTAAAATAAATATATAATATAATAGTAAAAATAGCACATAGGGACCACACTCAGTGTTAAAAACTGACAAATGATACAAATATAATAATAACTACATAAAGAGATAATATCAAACACTGTCTCTGGTAAAACCTCATGTTCTCTGAAAAAGGAGTCATACGATCTTCCTGGGTGTCTAAACTTATGAGCACAGGTGTAAACACAGTAATAACGTGAGTATCTCTGAGATAAACAGACTTTATCTTTTCACAGATAAAATCCTCTGTTATCAATAAAAACACTTCAGATAAAACTGATCAGAGTCCAGCAGCTGTGGCTCCGGAAACAGAGCAGATTGAAAGTAATGAGTGAGTACTCTAAGTATTCTAAGTACTCTAAGTATTGTAAGTAATCTAAGTATTGTAAGTACTCTAAGTGTTGTTAGTACTCTAAGTATTGTAAGTACTCTATGTATTGTAGGTACTTTAAGTATTGTAAGTATTGTAAGCACTATGTCAGCGCCCGTGAAGTCCCATGCTCTACTGAGCACAAAACCATTCATATGAATCACCGGGGCCATCTTGGATCACCGGGGCCATCTTGGATCACCGGGGCTTGGTTGTAGAAGCCCTGATGATATGGGACCTTTAACGTGTGTTTAATCAGTGTTAATCAGCAGAAGATTACATCAGAGTCCTCACTCAGGTCAGAGGTCAGCGGTCAGGAAACTGAGCATGGATCTATTATAATAACTGGACAGAGTGTTACAGCTTGGAGCTGAAGAACCATGTGCTCGGGGGATTCTTGCGGTACTGCAGACTGAACCAGACTGAACCAGACTGAACCAGACTAAACCAGACTAAACCAGACTAAACCAGACTAAATTCATGTGGGCTACCCCGAAATGTTCCCCATAGAACTCAATGTAAACTAAAACAGCTCGACCTCAGCTGACAGGGAACCTGACAGAGAACCTGACAGAGAACCTGACAGAGAACCTGACAGAGAACCTGACAGAGAACCTACAGAAAACCTGACAGAGAACCTGACAGAGAACCTACAGAGAACCTACAGAGAACCTGACAGAGAACCAGACAGAGAACCAGACAGAGAACTAGACAGAGAACCTACAGAGAACCTACAGAGAACCTAGAGAGAACCTGACAGAGAATCTGACAGAGAACCTGACAGAGAACCTACAGAGAACCTGACAGAGAACCTACAGAGAACCTGACAGAGAACCTGACAGAGAACCTGACAGAGAACCTGACAGAGAACCTACAGAGAACCTGACAGAGAACCTGACAGAGAACCTGACAGAGAACCTACAGAAAACCTGACAGAGAACCTGACAGAGAACCTACAGAGAACCTGACAGAGAACCTGACAGAGAACCTACAGAGAACCTGACAGAGAACCTGACAGAGAACCTGACAGAGAACCTGACAGAGAACCTACAGAGAACCTGACAGAGAACCTGACAGAGAACCTGACAGAGAACCTACAGAGAACCTGACAGAGAACCTGACAGAGAACCTGACAGAGAACCTACAGAGAACCTGACAGAGAACCTGACAGAGAACCTACAGAGAACCTGACAGAGAACCTGACAGAGAACCTGACAGAAAACCTAGAGAGAACCCAGAGAGAACCTGACAGAGAACCTGACAGAGAACCTACAGAGAACCTGACAGAGAACCTGACAGAGAACCTGACAGAAAACCTAGAGAGAACCCAGAGAGAATCTGACAGAGAACTTGACAGAGAACCTGACAGAGAATCTGACGGAGAACCTGACAGAGAACCTACAGAGAACCTGACAGAGAACCTGACAGAGAACCTACAGAGAACCTGACAGAGAACCTACAGAGAACCTACAGAGAACCTACAGAGAACCTGACAGAGATCAGAGAGCATCATGGGAAATAGCGCAATGCATCATGGGAGATCATCCACTGAGTTTCTCATAGATCTTTGAGAGTTTCCCATAGATCTTTGAGTTTCCCATAGATCTTTGAGAGTTTCCCATAGATCTTTGAGAGTTTCCCATAGATCTTTGAGAGTTTCCCATAGATCTTTGAGAGTTTCAGGCGACTTCCGCTAATCTTTCAGCCCCCATGCCGTCACAAAGCGCCACTGAGCACAACCATTCATTTGAATACGCCGCCATCTTGGATCACGGGGCTTGCTCTTGTTATAAATGTGACACTTATTCACAGTAAAAATGTGCTCCCACAGCAAAACATTTTATAGTTGAGACTTATTCGGTTCTCAGCCAAAAAGGTTCCCGACCCCTGCTCAGCGAATTGAAATGTAGTAAACAATCTGACGACTCTGTGACGACTCTGTGACGACTCTATGATGACTCTATGATGACTCTATGACGACTCTGTAACGACTCTGTGACGACTCTATGACGAATCTGTGACGACTCTGTGACAACTCTATGACGACTCTATGACGACTCTACGACGACTCTATGACGACTCTGTGACGACTCTGTGACAACTCTGTGGCGACTCTATGACGACTCTATGACGACTCTATGATGACTCTGTGACGACTCTGTGACAACTCTGTGACGACTCTATGACGACTCTGTGACAACTCCGTGACGACTCTGTGACAACATGACTCTATGACGACTCTATGACGACTCTATGACGACTCTATGACGACTCTATGACGACTCTGTGACGACTCTGTGACGACTCTATGACGACTCTATGACGACTCTATGACGACTCTATGACGACTCTATGACGACTCTGTGACGACTCTGTGACAACTCTGTGACGACTCTATGACGACTCTATGACGACTCTGTGACGACTCTATGACGACTCTGTGACGACTCTATGACGACTCTGTGATGACTCTGTGACAACTCTATGACGACTCTATGACGACTCTATGACGACTCTGTGACGACTCTGTGACAACTTTATGCCAACTCTATGACGACAATGACGTCTCTATGACGACTCTATGACGTCTCTATGACAACAATGATGTCTCTATGACGACTCTATGACAACAATGACGACTCTATGACGACTCTATGACATCTCTATGATGACTCTATGATGACTCTATGACGACTCTATGACGACTCTATGACGACAATGACAACTCTATGACGTCTCTATGACGACTCTATGACGACAATGACGACTCTATGACAACAATGACGTCTCTATGACGACTCTATGACGACAATGACGACTCTATGAAATCTCTAAGATGACTCTATGACGTCTCTATGATGACTCTATGACGACTCTATGACGACTCTATGACGACAATGACGACTCTATGATGACTCTATGACGTCTCTATGACGACTTTATGACGACTCTATGACGACTCTATAACGTCTCTATGACAACAATGACGTCTCTATGACGACTCTATGACGACAATGACGACTCTATGACGACTCTATGACATCTCTATGATGACTCTATGATGACTCTATGATGACTCTATGACGACTCTATGAAGACTCTATGACGACTCTATGACGACAATGACGACTCTATGACGTCTCTATGACGACTCTATGACGACAATGACGACTCTATGACAACAATGACGTCTCTATGACGACTCTATGATGACAATGACGACTCTATGACGACTCTATGACATCTCTAAGATGATTCTATGACCTCTCTATGATGACTCTATGACGACTCTATGACGACTCTATGACGACAATGACGACTCTATGACGACTCTATGACGTCTCTATGACGACTTTATGACGACAATGACGACTCTATGATGACTCTATGACGACTTTATTATGGCTCTATGACGACTCTATGACGACAATGACGACTCTATGACGTCTCTATGACAACTTTATTATGGCTCTATGACGACTCTGTGACGACTCTATGATGACTCTGTGACGACTCTGTGACGACTCTATGACGAATCTGTGACGACTCTGTGACAACTCTATGACGACTCTATGACGACTCTACGACGACTCTATGACGACTCTGTGACGACTCTGTGACAACTCTGTGGCGACTCTATGACGACTCTATGATGACTCTGTGACGACTCTGTGACAACTCTGTGACGACTCTATGACGACTCTGTGACAACTCCGTGACGACTCTGTGATGACTCTATGACGACTCTATGACGACTCTATGACGACTCTGTGACGACTCTGTGACGACTCTGTGACGACTCTATGACGACTCTATGACGACTCTATGACGACTCTATGACGACTCTATGACGACTCTGTGACGACTCTGTGACAACTCTGTGACGACTCTATGACGACTCTATGACGACTCTGTGACGACTCTATGACGACTCTGTGACGACTCTATGACGACTCTGTGACGACTCTGTGACAACTCTGTGACGACTCTATGACGACTCTATGACGACTCTGTGACGACTCTATGACGACTCTGTGACGACTCTATGACGACTCTGTGATGACTCTGTGACAACTCTATGACGACTCTATGACGACTCTATGACGACTCTGTGACGACTCTGTGACAACTTTATGCCAACTCTATGACGACAATGACGTCTCTATGACGACTCTATGACGTCTCTATGACAACAATGATGTCTCTATGACGACTCTATGACAACAATGACGACTCTATGACGACTCTATGACATCTCTATGATGACTCTATGATGACTCTATGACGACTCTATGACGACTCTATGACGACAATGACGACTCTATGACGTCTCTATGACGACTCTATGACGACAATGACGACTCTATGACAACAATGACGTCTCTATGACGACTCTATGACGACAATGACGACTCTATGAAATCTCTAAGATGACTCTATGACGTCTCTATGATGACTCTATGACGACTCTATGACGACAATGGCGACTCTATGACGACTCTATGACGTCTCTATGACGACTTTATGACGACTCTATGACGACTCTATAACGTCTCTATGACAACAATGACGTCTCTATGACGACTCTATGAAGACTCTATGACGACTCTATGACGACAATGACGACTCTATGACGTCTCTATGACGACTCTATGACGACAATGACGACTCTATGACAACAATGACGTCTCTATGACGACTCTATGATGACAATGACGACTCTATGACGACTCTATGACATCTCTAAGATGATTCTATGACGTCTCTATGAT